AACTACGTGTGCGAACTGTACAATTGGTGCTCTCGAAGTTTCGGCAAAAATATTTGCTTATCATGCGGCGGTAAGCATCACTATCAATAACGATCACTGTTGCTCTACGGGAATTTTATATAAAACTGCCCAAACGGTGACTTTCGGGCTGTGCAGGGCCAGTTGGTGCTTTATTCGACGGCTCCGTGGCGCAGTGGCTTAGCAATGAGTTGCTGCGCTAGGGGAGTGCGGGTTCGAATCCCGCACGGAATATGTATTTGTATGGCCTACAAATGATTGTTCCGGGTCTGGATGCTTGTCCTTATGAAATTTGTGTTTGTAAACTGCCGATACAGGAGAGAATCCTAGTGTGGGTGTAACGTTTTAAAAAAAAAGAATAAAAAAGAAAGAAAAGAATTTAAATGGAAATATGCTTCGTTACTGAACCAAATTGTGTTTACAGTTTGGAATCGGCTTAACATGTTTTCACAGAACTCCTTACGCGCTATGAAGTCAGCTGGTTTAAGAGCCTGCACCAATTGGACCTTATATGGATGAAGTTTCACGTCCTTGCTTATAATTCGCTGCACGGTCGTTTTTGGTAGCGCCAAAGACGATGCTCTCTTACGCACAGATTGGCGCGGATTTTGTAGTACGCTGCTTTCAACACGTTGAATGTTTTCTTTGGTCCTTGACGTCAGGCTAAGGCCTGGCCGAGGGTTGTTTATGGTTGAACCAGTTGCTCGGAACTTTTGCACCCCACGTTTTAATTAAATTTACACTTGGTCCGTCACTTAAACGTTGAATATCAAAACGTGTATAAAATCGTCGACGGGCAATGGTACAAGAATCGTTAGTTTTTTCTACTGCGAACGCTCGTTGCTCACCGGTCCACTGCGACATCGTGACTAAACAATCCGTACGATTGCAGCGTCGAATGTCACCCCTCCCCCGCTCCCTGGCGCAACTGTTTAATAAATTATTTAAATTTAAAGTTGTAAATTTGCCACGGTCCATCCTGTATTATTGGAAGATAACTGAATTACTACGTCCACGTTTGTTAAGTTGTTCACATAGTTCAAATTAGATTTAATAGCCTGTAATTTTTGTACTTCGACCTCAGAACAACAAATAAAGATAGACGGAACGCTGAGTATATTTGACAGTGACATCGAAACCACGCTCAACATGTAAGAATACGCACTCACGTTCACTTAGCGTCTAAAATAATTTGAAACCAAAAATTTTAGGTGCATATGTGTGTGGACTTTATGAGCCGTTAAAGAAAGAAGAAATATAGCGTGAGTGCGTATCAAGAAGTTGGCATGGTTTCTACGTCACATAATTTACACAGCGCTCCGTCATCTTCTTTGTTAGTCTGTAGGATCAAAAAATTTTCTCCTCGATTCCAATCTGGAATAAATTATAGAAAATTATAGGTAGATATTTAATTTATTGTAAACATTTTTCTGTAATAGACAATAATGAAAAAAGTAACTAACAATTTTTAGAATCATTTTATGTACGTAAACTAAGAGTTCCAAAACTGTAATAGTGAATGAATAATGAAACATAATATATTTTAGGACTTGTGTGATATATTTTATAGTAAAAGTATAGCATGAAATATAAATTTGGTAAAGCAATATATAATGTCATGGTTTTTTTACATTATTATTTCTTGTATTAAAACAATTCACTCTTTAATAATAAACCTGTTATAAACTTGAATCTCACCATTTACCTCAAATTGCAAAATTACATTAAAAGAAAAATATGCTTTTATTTTTCTATTTATCTATGCACGTAAGTTTTATGTAGTTTTAAATTAGAAGAAATATTGATACTTAATCAAAAACAATCCAAATTGGTTTGATAATAATTAAATCTGTAATATTTTGGCATAGATGGTTCAGTCCACGAAGACACACACCAATCTTAAATGTTTAAATGTATAACCTGTCGGAAATATCTGCGAACCTCGCTGGAATGCGCTTCCCCTCGCGCTTCCCCGCACCTCCGCCCGTTATCGTCTATCCAGTACCGTTGCCATCTCTCCATATTGCATGACGTCATCAAGCCAGGTTCGCAGATATTTCCGCCCGTTATCGTCTATCCAGTACCGTTGCCATCTCTCCATATTGCATGACGTCATCAAGCCAGGTTCGCAGATATTTCCGACAGGTTATATATGCATTTGATCTCATACGACGGCCTGTCCTTTGCGTTATATGGACGTGTTTATGCAACATGTTCTAATTCAAAATACAACTGTATTAAATATAAATAATTTAAATAAAAAAGTATATAACACAAAATCTCACTGCTCTCACCCAGAGGGGTAGGCAGAGACTACGGACTTTTATTTGGCATGATCCTGACACACTTATCTCGCATCCTTCACATCAATTTTATGCATACATGCTCGTCGGTTAAGAGGTAGATTTAATTTGACCAATCTTCTATGTAACAACAATTTGGTCGAAAACCATCCTTTTAGAGCGTCCCTTGTCAACTCTAGTACACTCTCAAACGATTATAAATATATACCATATACTTTTTCTTATATTTTTATTTGTTTGTTAATATAAAATACTGAGTGGTCGTACCCATTTGGTAAAAAAGTCGTATCTTCGTAGATTGAACTATTTACTACGTAGTTATTTGTATAGTATATGAATGGCGATGGTTTAATGTGATTTTTATAGAATTTAAATGGTTCGTGGTTTAATGTTGCAATGTAAAAAATATTTTTTAATATCTGGTATCTTCTATGTGATTTCGCATCTATGACATTATCCGATTGTGTAGAGTCGTCAAAGATCATTTATTTTTATAATGTAAATATTTGTGCGCTGAATGATGTTTTGAATAAAATATTTATAGATTAATAATCTTTTATTGGTTACAATGGGGGGAGAAGAAGGAATATGTACCCTTTATCACCTAATGTCAACCTCTCTTTTTCTTTTTATAGTAGTAGGGATGACAAACAATCACATAAACCACTTGATGGTAAGCGAATCCTATGGCCCAAAGACACCTGTATTTATCATTGATCAAAATGCAGACGCGTTGTCACTCTTGAGGACTGAGGTGGAATGCCTCGTTACCAGTAAAAAGGTCTCCGGTTCTCAACATTCACCATAGAAAATAAAGCGAGCATTAAACTGCTATAACTGCTATCTTATGCTGATGCTTGGTCCTTCCCCGGTCGAGCTGACCTATTCGTGCTTATATAACTTTATTACGTAAAAATTGACGAATTTTTATTGCTTATATTGATTCACGTATGAGGCTTGGCGGTCTACTAAAGCTGTTTCCATCAGAGCAGTGCGAGGTCCCTAATAATAAACTAGTAGGATATTGAAGTAATATATAGAGACACCGAGACATGGTTGTTTGTAACACGCGTTAGAGCCCACGGGCTCTAATGCCATAAAAAGTACTCTGCCTTTTTTATAGAATAAAGGTGACAAGCAAGCACATATTCCACCCGATAGTAAGTGGATGCTGTGGCCCGTAGATATTTCATCCTCGATTAAGAATCAAAATGCAGAATGCGATGTTACCCCTGAGGACAGAGATGGAATGCCTCGTTTTTAGTAAAAAGGGTCTCCGTTTCTCAAAACTCACCACGAAACACAGCAGCATCAAGCTGCTATTTTACTCTGGTATTCTATGAGAGCGTGGTGCTACAACCATAATATAGCTGCAGCGTGGCTTTACCACGTCTAAATTCCTCGCGTTCTGCATTGCCGCACAGATTTTGTACACGGTGTATGTTCTAGTACTTAGTACTTATTCCTTCAATGTACTAGGATTACTTGATTTTCCTAAACTCACTTGGCGAAGCGCTAGTGAAAAAGGGCTTAGCGAAACAAGGTCTTTATACATACACAAGTGATAAAATTCGAAATTTTGTACACCGACTTCAATATAAATAAAATGAGAACATCGTCAATGTAATCGAAGTCAATTAAATACACATTATTAAAGCTCAAAAACTATTGGCCAGACCTTGATCAAATTTATATGGGACCACATGAGAAGCACCAGCTTTCAAATAAAACAATCATCAAAATCGGTTCAACTAGAAAAAAATTCTAAGGTAACACACAAAAAAATACAGGCGAATTGAGAACCTCGTCCTTTTTTTTAAGACGGTTTAAAAACAGTGAGAGATTTGTGCGCTATAAAACCCTAATGCCTATCACATAGAGGGGTAGACAGAGACTACGGAATAAACATTTAGCACGACCCAACACCTCTCGCTTCCTTCACATCCATATAGTATGCTTTACGCATACTTGCCTTACAACAAGGTCCCGGAAAGTGTACAGGCTCACTCTATTACCAAGTTTAAATGTTTTGTTAAGTTGAAACTGTATAAAAAGGGTTATTACAGTATAAATGAATACATGGTTGATAATAACCCCTGGGAATGAGGTGGTCGCTTCCAAGCTGTTTCTAAAATAAATTTTGTACTTATATAATTTGTACAACCATTAAAGTAAAATTTGCTTTTAAAAAAATGTCCCGCTGGGTTTCTTGTTGGTTCTTCCCAGGACAGAGGGTTTTTTTTCGAACCAGTGGTAAAGTAAAAAATGACTTTCAATAAGAATTACACATGTGATCTATATTGAATAAAAATTATTCTATTCTATTCTATTCTATTCTTGCTCCTCCATTAAGGATACTCTTAATTTAGCTGTGGCCCGTCTTCAATTTATCTCCAGTGTGGTCAATAAACTTAACCTCTCAGAAATGTAAGAGGGTGATCCCCTATCCAATCGAACTCAAACTCAAAGGCAGAAAAAAACCTACCACTAAATTAAAACGATTAACTTCTGACCAGATTACAGCAGCGCAAGAATTGCTCCTTGGCGGCAGGAAACAGGAATAAGTAAGAAGGTAGTATCTTCCCAGGCATGTTAATTAAACAAAAACTAAAAAACAATTGTGTTTAGTTTTTTTAATTCTACATTCTCTTTATTGCAGAGCATTGTAATAACTATAATTTATGTTACCATATTCACATCTGCCCACTTTAGGAACAAGTTTATCTCAGTCCATATGGCTTTGGACCACATGGTCACTGTGAACCATATTACTGTCATGGCTATAATCGAAGGCCCGATGCCGGCACATAACTGCAAAAAAAAACAAGAAATTTATCATTTATGAATTATAACAAAATTTCAATTGTGACGACCAATATTGAACATTTTCTTATTTTACGGTTGGAGAATTTTGTTATTATGTTAGTTTCGGAATCTGGGATTATGGACTTCTAAAATCTATTGGCAGATTGTCAATCTCTCTTAATAAGATTGTGTTATTTTTCTTTCTGTTTTATTTAATGTTCGGCATACTGGCATATGTGCGTGGTACGTGGTAGAGCCACGCTGCAGATATAGTTGTAGCACGAATGGGTCGGCTCGACCGGGGTAGGACTACGCTCTTACAGAATACCAGAGTAAAATAGCAGCCTAATGCTTTATTGTTTTATATAGCGAGTGTAGAGCACCGGAGACCTTATTTACTGGAAAAGAGGCATTCCATCTAAGTCCTCACGGGTGACAACGTATCTGCATTTTGATTCGCAAACTAGGATAGATGTAGATTTATATGGGCCTCAGCAACCACTTAAGCAGCAGGTGGACTATGTGCTCGTTTGTCACCCTATTATTATCTTTTACCATTTGAATTGTTACTTTATGATTTATGATGACTTCCAATGACATATTTTGATTGTATTATTATTATTAATATTATTTTGAATTGAGATGCTACATTTATCGTTTTAGGTTTTTCCCTGTAATGATAGATATTAGTACGAAATATTAATAAACTTTATAAAAAAAAATTAGCCCGGTCAGACAGGCAAATAGACAGACAGAGTTTTTAAAATGGTAATTTATGTCTTAATAGTGCATAAAAATAACCCGCAGAGCTCAAAAGGCAGTTAGGTTTTAGTAAACTATTAAGTAATCTGTGGTTTGGTTCACGGCACTTCATACTATGTAGTATAGATGAATTGCAGTACCTAATACGCAAAGAAATCATAGTTTTATCTTTAAACATTCATCTTATTTCGATTTTTATACAATTGTAATATTTTTAAAAGAATTTTCTTTTCTATTAAAATTTTCCTTACACCATGCCATATTTTAAATGATATCTAGATTTTTTTTTTCGATTGAATCGATTTTCGAATGAAACTAGATTTTATCGCGTTTTATATAAACTATTTTCGCGGGGACTCCCCCGTAACATATAAAATATGTAAAACTTGCTTCCTTTAATGTGTAGTGTTTGTTTAAATATAAGAAATCAATATGTGAACCATACCATATTCCTTGGCGGAACGTGAACGTAAGCCAATACCATGGCATTAGCTGGCGTGCCAGTCATCAAGTGGAAGGGGAGAGAAGTAGAGATCGTTGCAGCCAACATCAGGTAGTGAGGATTTACTTTTGACATTATACTCTGCAAAAAATTACCTATATACGTGAGAGTACTCTTAGGTTGTGTAATCATTCAGAAACCAACATGTAACTCAACATGTTGCGCATTATGTTGAGCGACGACTTGGAACTTTTGTTTAGGAACGCTAAAGTCGATTATGACATTATCACATGTATATGACCATAGTTTTATGGTTCATAGATACAAAGTGTTACGGCGTGCAGCTGCCTATTCAAGAGTAGGATCTTCCCGGCCCATGAAGGAAGATCCCACAAGCAGATGCAGGTCGGGCCTCCTAAAGCCAAAGTGGAAAATCTCTAATTACAATAAACAATAAGAGGGAGCGTTCTATCCTACTGCCATTCAACAGGGAGAATATTAAAACCGAGCTTACCTACCTATATCCAAGGCGACTGGTCCCTCAGGGTTCGGTCAGGTCGCATGTGGTTGTATGGTGCATGGGAAGTAAGGGTCAGTGATGTGTACCTTTTTTTATTTTTTTTATTTTTCTTTTATTTTTTTTATAGGATAAGGGTGACAAACGAGCACACAGTCCACCTGATGGTAAGTGGTCGCTTTGGCCCATAGACATCTACATCTGTCTTCGATTAAGAGTCAAAATGCAGATGCGTTGTCACCCATGAGGACTAAGATGGAATGCCTCGTTCCCAGTAAAAAGGGTCACCGGTTCTCTACACTCACCATACGAAACACAGCAGCGTTAAGCTGCTATTTTACGCTGGTATTCTGTGAGAGCGTGGTCCTTCCCCGGTCGAGCCGACCCATTCGTGCTACAACCATAATATAGATGCAGCATGGCTCTACCACGTATAAAAGTATCTGTGTGTGACTGAGTGTGGTAGACCTTATGAGACCGTTGCCGTCGGCAGCAGCTCGGACTTCAGCACCGCTCCAAATTGTGGTAATCTTCCGCGGAGTCGTCCACAGTCACTTTCTTCGTTCGTCACGAGGACAGTCCTTAACTTTATCGCACAATTAACTAACTTCCAGAAGCCACTAACTCTAATTTGTTATAAAGCGTAACACCCAACACAAATACAGAATGTCGGTCTATACGAAATCCCGTTACTATAAGCCAAAACGTAACACACCGCACGAACACGAATGTCCGGATCAAAACTCACTACCGTTTTGCGTGGCAACAATTATTTCTAGAATATCAAATGCCGCAGTAGTAGCTAATATTGTCGTATACCCTTATACAGATTCTGAGATAGACACAAGAAGTCCCGGGAAAAGCTCTCAAACAAGGAATGCGCGATACGAATACTAGACAGTATATTTACTAGACGCGCCTAAACTATTCCGTGTTCCCGCACAAAAAAATGACAGCGTGCTGTCCCAAGCACAGCTGGCAAACGACTCCCGCACTCGCGCGCCCCCGCCACACCGCTCGACCGAACGTCAAAACCGGTATGGCGCCGAGCCGAGCGCCCTCTGGCGTCAAACTCCGAAACCAGCGTTCAGGCGTGAACACACAGAAATGTAAAAATCTATAATAGTATAGTTTGTACAATAAACGTTTTGTTTTTAGTCAAATGTACATTAATATACGGTCTTATAAAAGATGGAGGCGCGTCATATTGTGTTTGTGTGTAATCTGGCAATGTCGCGCTGTGCTAAGCTGTGACATGTTACGTTGGTCAATTGTTGCCTAATTATCGTGATGTAGACAACGTAAAAATACATTTTACAGCCCCGCTATAGCTGTAGATATAGCTGCAGCACGAAAGGGTCGGCTCGACCGCGGAAGGACCACGTTTGCATAAAATACCATAGTCAAATATCAGCATTACGCTCTTGTGTTTAGTATAACGTAATATATTAAGTAATGGGAACCGGAGACAATTTTACTGGTAACGAAGCATTTTAACCTACCCTTGGGTATCACAATATATCAGCAGTTTCATTCTTAATTAGTAATTTAAACTTAAAACTATACAAAATAAGACCGTATATTAAAGAGGACCTACGCTTTCTCTTGTGTGACTCATTGGTGTTATCACAACTGAGCTACTGCAGCTCAGTCTTTGGCCCTAAATTGTCAGCTAATACCGAAAGAGCAATACAGAGAGTACAAAATGCATGTGTTCGATACTGTTGTAATGTACCAAGAAGACAATTTATAACCCCATACTTAAATAAAAAAGGCATACTCAATATGGGCACCAGGAGAGAATTACACTATGCTTCGATAGTCCAAAAGGTAATTTGGAACAAAAAACCAGAATACCTTTTCGAAAAACTCGCCTGGATCAAAGATATTTCCTGTCGAAGTATTCGTTCTCACACACAAACCCGCACCCGCACACACCCGCACACAAAACAGCAAGATATAGGAGTTGTTTCAAATTCACTGCAGCGAGAATTTGGAATGACCTCCCTCCACCCATGAGAAAGAAAATGTCAATAGATTGCTTCAAAGCCAAATATAAATTGGCTTTGTTAAAAAGACAACTCGCTGCAGAGAATTTGAAACATCCCTATGTTAAGTTATTACATTTACGGGACTTTTTTGCCAAAAATTAATAAGGACACACACACACACACACACACACACACACACACACACACACACACACACACACACATATTTTTTTTTTAATCTGTTGTAGTTCATTTCGTAATGGTTGTTTTTATGCATATTTTTTAAATGTTTATATTTTGTCTTTAATGTTTTTAATTTTTTTTTTGTATTTACGATTTTATCACATTTTATTACTTTGTACGTAGTTTAAAAGTATAAGTTAGGTAAATGGGGAGCCTGCTACTTTGGACTCCCGCACAACACCTCAGGGAGGAGGGAGCGGCTGAAAAACAGCTCTGTGATGAGATATGTATCTCGTTACAGACAAAGCTGAGCCGTCTCCTTTTGTCTCAAATAGTTATAATGTTCTTTTGTTTTGGCGTGTATGTAACTGTTTTGTTTTTAGGGGCAATAAACAATTATTATTATTATTATTATAATTAGGGATAAAGTAGGTAATCAAATTACACACAAAGTTTTCTTTTTTATAGAAAATGTCCGTTTATTTCGACTGCGGCGACTTTGTATTCTTTCGGAAATTTTTTAACTGCGCAGGAGATATTATAGTGCAAAGCAATAAGTTGTGCGTTTACAAATAAAAATCTGCACCTTCTGCCGTGTGGTGGTGGTATGAATCATCACGCCATTGAGGAGACGCCCATGGAAAATACCAGAAAAATCTAATAGCTTCCCGTAGATGGACGTGTAACCCTCTTGTTTACAGCAGATATAAAATACAGAGACCGGCGACGGGCAGCAGCGTCAAGGGTGCGAAACATCTGATACTACTATAGTCAGTCTGCCTACGAGGTGAAAACTAAGGCAAATCATCCCTGCAACGGGAGAGGCCAAGGTTCAGTTGTGGAAGATAAGTAAAGGTATAGGTAAGTATAGTGTCGGTACACTCGGAGGCGCACTTATTATTTTACTTTTATTTTATTATTTTTTACTGTGTTTGTCAAATAAATGTTTTTCTATTCTGAAATACGAATATAAATAATAAACACAAGTTAGGTAGCAAAGAACCTTTCACTACGTCACAGAATAGATAATAGTACAAGTAACTATGCGCTTTTTTTTAAATGCCAAATTCTCCTGTGGGTGTACGCCACGCGGCGGTGTTTGATGTTGCGGCAGCGCCTTTGACATGATACGGCACGTGCCAAGGAGGCTCGACACAAAGGCGACGGTATCTAAGCGAACAGACTATGCAAAGGTGAAATTAATGCTGAAATGGCACTCTCTGCCAGCTAACCTATGGTGCGGTGAGAGCTGTGGGTGGAGCCGCAACAGAAAGATAAACTAGCTTTTTTAAATTTATTATTATTATATACATAAGTATGCCAATATATCAATATTACTATTTAGTAATATTGAGATATTGGCGATCGTCTTTATTTATTACATTCATAATTAGTTATTTTTTAAAGGCAAAAGTTTTCTGAACCAACCAATTTAGCAATATGCGGAAGCATAACGTACGCCACGCAAGAGTTGGAGGCGAACTCGGTAAGGAGTTTGCAAAATACGATGACAATTATCACTAGCGCCGGCGCTGGCCAGCCGGAGAATAGCAGAAGAAACTTCTCGAACTCTTCCGTCATTTTGGAGAGTTTTAGCGCTTCGAATATTGTGTTACTGCCACCTAAAAAAGTAAACCAGTGTTGCCAGACCAATCAGTGTAACCAGTGTTACCGTTGCCGATTAAGTGCTTTGGGGTAAAGGAAATAAAATACATTTGATGGTTATGTGAAGTATGCACTTTATTGTCCATTACAGCAAAAGTCCACTGCTTAACATAGGCCTCCTCTACAGATTGCCTCATAGTGGATGTATTTGCCATAGTTGCTACGCTTGCTAGCCGATAGTTTGGCAGTCTTTTTACTTGTTATTGGGAAGAGGCTGGTGCCCATCTTTTTTTTATAGGATAGGGTGACAGACGAGCACACAGTCCACCTGATGGTAAGTGGTTATCGTGACCCATAGACAATCTACATCTATCTTTAATAAAGACTCAAGATGCAGATGCGTTGTCACCCGTGTGGAATAAGATGGAATGCCTCTTTGCCAGTAAAAAGGGTCTCTGGTTCTCTACGCTCACCATACGAAACACAGCAGTGTTAAGCTGCTATTTTACGCTGGTTTTCTGTGAGAGCGTGGTCCTTCCCCGGTCGAGCCGACCCATTCGTGCTACAACTATACTACTAATATAGCTGCAGCATACTCTACCACGTAAAAAAATCTCCTGTTTTGTTTCTCTCAGTCGCCTCTTACGACACCCATGGAACGATATGGGATAGTGGATATACTTACACCGCCACTATACAGTAACTGTCGAAGAAGAAAGTTACTTACACACATATCTTATCATTTTACGTAAAAATAACTGTTAGTTACTTTATATTTTATGGTAAATCAAATAAAATCAGTTAGTCACTTTAGTGTAAAAATGTTACTTTCTATGCAAGCTAACGTTACTTTCTATTAAGCAAGCAACATTGATGTAAAAGTTTTAGGTATCACGCACAAAACTTCTTTCATAAAATGTATTACCACCGTGATTGATGCGGATGTTTTTTTTATAGATTATGGATAAAAACGAGCACACAGTCCACCGGATGGTAAGTGGATACTGTGGCTACTACTGTGAACGCCTTGTATCCAGTAAAGATTCTCCTGTTCTCTACACTCACCATACGAAATATTGCAGAACTAGAAAACTAGTGGCGACGTAAAAGAGTGACTGTCAGCTACGTCATACGGCCAGCAGTGATAGACCACGTTTCAGTTCCGTAACTCATCACTGGCACGCATTGGTTGTAGTATACAAAAACCAAATTCAAAATAGTTTGGTGGTGATCACCATTAGACCTCCTTATTATAAATACATCCTTAATATACAACTTTAGGACACTAATAAAGAGTGTGTATTTGCAGCTGCACGCCAAATGCACCGCTATGCTGCACGCTCATTACTGAACTTTGTACTCTTTCCCCGGGATTTCACGGCATAAGAATGAAGTTTTAGAGTAAACAGGAATAAACATACCTATTACAAATAATACACTCCAAGGAATATTGTTTTTAACTAACTCCCAGTTGAGACACGTCTTGCACGGAGCGGTTGGTAGTAGCTCTAAAATACCTGAATAATGTACTAACATATAATTGATGAATATGTAATTTATTTTTAATGAATTCTAGTAATACCTTATGATTTCTTATATTTATGCGAACGCCACACACTATTACTAATTTTACGGATTTTATCGCGTTTAATTTAAACTTTTTTTTCAGGCACTTTACGGCACCTCCGGTCACGGGGGACAATGAGGGAGTTTAACGTCCCAATTACATATTTAGTCCGGTTACTTTCAGCTTTTGAATATTAATTATTTTATTGGTACGATTAACGCACAACTAGTGCAGTTAATTTTTGATTAAATTTTATTAATTATGGGATCTCAAGCAGATGGTAGCGCCCAGATATCTTCTCTATTGAAAATACCTACCATTATTATTATTAATTTATACTATTAATTATTACAACCTACCAAAGCCCACTGCTAAACATAGGCCTCCCCGTAGACAACCTCATAAGGGTGATATTTGTCATAGTTACCACGCTTGGTGGACGGGTTGAAAACGGCAGTTGTTTTCTACTTTTTATTTGGAGGACGTAGTTACCGATCTCCTGATTTGTTTCCCTCTGTCGCCTCTTACAACACCCACGGGATGATATCCTAGCTAGTGATGAGAGATTATTCACCGCGAATATTGTTATAAAGTTAAGTAAAGCTACAGCCTATATAAGTCCTACTGTTGGGCACAGACCTATTCTCATTTCTGAGAGCGTTACTGAGCAAGTAGTTCACTGAACAAGTGCTTGTTAACGAGCTCCACATGTTGTCTTCGATATATTTTCTTCCTCAGACATTCAGATTTCCTCACGATCTGTTTCTTCACCACAGAGCAGCGCGTGGCAAATCGACACTTAATAACAATTTCATTGGAGCAGGAGGGTATCGAACCAGGGTTGCTGGGAGACTGTGAACCTACGCGCTCCCATGGTATCATAGAATAATGCAATAGGATATATAAAATTTATTAAATAATCTTTTATAAACAAGCTATTGTTTTTTTTTTAATACTGAGAAAATGTCGGAAGTTTTCCTGTGTCGTAGAGGCGCTTTTAGACAAGCATATTATATACCCGGGACAATCATTTACAGACCGTACAATAATAATTAATCATTAACAATTAGACAATTATAGATCATAAAAATAAAGAACTTACCAGAACGCCTTTTGAAGTAACGTAAAAATTTGAAATTTATTGGCGTGATAAACAGTAGAAGTGTACACAACACGGAAGGGGCCGACAGCTTGATGTGGCTAAAAATGTAGCAAATTAAATCGATTAATGTGTGTTACGTGTTACCTCATAACTTTGTTCTACGTGAACCGATTTCAATGATTCTTTTTTTATTTGAAAGCTGGTGTGTCTCATATGGTCCAATTATTGATCAAACTTTGTCCAATAGATTTTTAGTTATCCTTAATAATATATATTGAAGTCGGTATTGAACAAAATTTTTAATTTTAAATTATTTTATCAATCATTTTATAACGTGATTAGTGTTTATTGATGATATTCTCGAAATGAAATGCAATAAAATATATTTTATTTTTTCGATGTAATATACGAAATTAACATTTCCTTCATAATTAATTAAATAATTCTAAGATATTTTGTTTATACTTAACGTGATTGAGTTTTTAAAAAATACTTTTAATAGAAAGGTGAAGCCCACTTCAAAACTAAATGAATAAAACTAAAATGAATAAAATAATAATACATTCAGAAGTCGTGGCTTTAATTTTTAGGGTTCCGTACCTCAAAAGGAAAAAACGGAAACCTTATAGGATCACTTTGTTGTCCGTCTGTCTGTCTGTCAAGACCCTTTTTCTCAGGAACGCGTGGAGGTATCGAGCTGAAATTCATATCAAATACTCAAATCTATTGTGCCTCAGAGCTGTGAAAAAATCAAACTTCTAAGCCAACGCAATCAAAAGATACAGCCGTTTATGCCGCAAATTTTCGACATTCGCAAGGAAATCAAAACCTACAGGGTACTTCCCGTGAACTCGAATCTTAAAAGTTGGTACGAAGCAACGTATTATAGCACAGATAAAGGAAAAATTGCGAAAAGCAGAAATTTTTAGTTACATCATATAATAAAAATATTTTTAATAATTTTAAACTTATATACCTACGGATTTGTTCGGAACCCTCGGTGCGCGAGTCCGACTCGCACATGGCCGGTTTTTCTTCTATACCCTATGTCTTAGCACTGTAAAGCACTGGCTTTTGCTACTTATTAAAAGTCTTTTGTCTTTTGAGTGGAATATTACAATCTCAATGTCGTCTAAATTAAAATATTCATCCCCAGTTTTGCCAACCTTGCGGGTGGAATTTCTTTTCCAAATTTGTGGAGCTACTTCTGAAGTATAACATATTATGAATTATCAAAATCGGTTCACAATTAACGGAGATATTGCGTTAAACATACAATTTCACGTTTGCTCTTTTTTGCAATTAAGGCTTAATACAATAAAAGTAAGCACTAAATAAAAAAAAAATATTCCAGACCTGATTGCATCTCTCAAAAATATAATGTATATTATATTTAAATTATGATTTGAAGTACAAGTGAGTACAATCTGCCAATTTGTTTTGCGTATGATGTGGATTATGAGAAAGCCTTTGATTCAGTCGAAATTGGGGCAGTGCTCTGTCCCGTTTAGTAAGTACATAATACCAGATTCACAGTCGATATATCGATGTACTAAAAAGTTTGTACAGTAGTAGATTTACGATCGCTATCCGAGTACAAACCCAGAGTATGAAACCTATCCAATTGTAGATACGTTATATTCAAAACTCCTCACCGCTACCGACTAGAAATGATACTGTTTTTCCTGTATTTATTATAAATTATGTAAAATCCTTATAAGTGGTAGAGGCATGCTACAGGCTGTAGCTATATTATGGTTGTAGCTCGAATGGGTCGGCTCGATCGGGGTAGGACCACGGTATCAAAGAATAGCAGCTTAATGCTGCTGTGTTTCGTACGGTGAGTGTAGAAAACCGGGGACCCTTTTACTGGATACAAGTCATTCCATCTTAGCCCTCAGGGGTGACAACGCACCTGCATGTTGAATCTTATTCGAGGGTAAATATAGATGTCTACGGGCCACGGTATCGACTTACGAGTACCATCGGGTGGACTGTGTGCTCGTGTGTGCACATAGTATAAAACAGTCTTTTCCAGAGTGTGGGATAACGTCCCCTTGTAGGCGTTGGAGACCTACAAAATCATCACGGATTACAGAATACTAAATTTTAGTCAAAGAATCTAGTTATATTACTGTAAGTCTATATCTACCAAGAGTGTCATCATCATCATCATCATTACAGCCCTTCACAAGTCCACTGCTGAACATAGGCCTCCCCCAAAGAATGCCACAAAACACGGTCCTGAGCCACCTGCATCCATCGACTTCCTGCATGTCTTACCAGGTCGTCACTCCATCTCGTGGGGGGACGCCCTACACTTCGCCTACCGGTACGAGGCTGCTACTCGAGAACCTTTCTTCCCCATCGGTTGTCGGTTCTTCGAGCTATATGGCCGGCCCACTGCCACTTCAGCTTACTAATCTGTTGGGCTATGTCGGTCACTCTGGTTCTACTGCGGATATCCTCATTCCTAAGTTTATCACGCAGAGAAACTCCGAGCATAGCCCTCTCCATAGCTCGCTGAGCGACCTTGAGCTTCCTCATACGGCCAGCAGTGAAGGACCACGTCTTAGTTCCGTAAGTCATCACTGGCAACACGCACTGGTTGTACAATTTCGTTTTAAGGTTTTGTGGTATGTCTGACGAGAAGATGTGTCGTAGCTTCCCGAACGCTGCCCAGCCGAGTTGAATCCGTCGATTGACCTCTCGGTCGAAGTTGGACTTACCCAGTCGGACTATTTGTCCCAGGTAAACATACTCGTCAACAACTTCGAGCTTAGTGTTCCCAACAACTACCGGCATAGGTGTGACATGGATATTAAACATGATCTTAGTTTTGTCCATGTTCATCTTAAGACCTATCCGTTGGGAAACACTATTGAGGTCATTGAGCATAGTGCTTAGGTCCTCCAGCGATTCTGCCATAAGGACTATATCGTCGGCAAATCGAAGGTGAGTGATGTACTCGCCATTGATGTTGATACCGTATCCTTTCCAGTCCAGAAGCTTGAAAACGTCTTCCAATGTAGCGGTGAAGAGTTTCGGGGATATGACGTCACCCTGTCTTACACCTCTCTGCAATTGGATAGGTTTCGTACTCTGGTTCTGTACTCGGATAGCCATCGTAGCCCTACTGTACAAGCACTTCAACACTTCGATATACCGACAGTCAACTTGGCATCGCTGAAGGGACTGCAGCACCGCCCAAATTTCGACGGAATCAAAGGCTTTCTCATAGTCCACATACGCCAGACATAGTGGCAAATTGTACTCTTCGGACTTCTGTACAACTTGCCGAAGGGTATGTATGTGGTCTATGGTGCTAAAGCCCTTTCGGAAACCGGCTTGTTCGGGAGGCTGGAAGTCGTCAAGTCTGCGCGCGAGACGATTCGTAATGACTCTCGAAAACAGCACGTAGACGCGGCTCAGAAGGGAAATCGGTCTGTAGTTCTTCAAGAGAGCGTTGTCACCTTTCTTGAAGAACAAGACCACCGCACTTCTGCTCCACGCCTCCGGTGTAATGCCACCATGGAGGACGGAATTAAAGAGCTTCTGAAGGACTTCAAGTACCGGTCTTCCACCCGCTTTCAGAAGCTCCGCTGTAATTCCATCCTCGCCTGGGGCCTCACCGTTTTTAAGGTGCTGGAGAGCCATCCTAATCTCGCTCAGACTGACATCCGGGATATCTTCGGAATAGTGTCGGATGAGACTCGCTCTTGGATCGTTACTCACACTTGCGTGTGGCTCCAACGATGATGTGTACAGCTGCCCATAGAACCTCTCAATCTCACTCAAAATCTCAGGTGTCCCGGAAACGATTCTGCCACACTCTGTCTTCAGCTTTGACAGTTGGCTCTTTCTGGCAGACAGATCTCTGGCAAAGACTTTGGAGCCTTGGTTCCGCTCGATCGCTTCTTCAATACGAGCTGTATTGAAGTTGCGTAAGTCCCGCCGCATGCATTTGGAGATCTGTCTGTTCAGATGCCTGTATGCTGTCAAGTCTGTTGAAGAATGTAGCTTCATCTCCCGTCTAACAGCCATGAGATTAAGAGTGTGATCGGAGAGTTTTTGTGTTCTTCTGCGGCGGGTCTTGCAGAACTTAGCTCCAACCGCATGGACAGTTTCCACGAGCTTGTCATTCATATCGTCCACTTCATTGCAGTCTTCCAGGCACTGAAAACGGTTTTGTAACTCGAGCTGAAAGGTTTCGGGACTTTGGAACAGAACTTCATTAGACGAGACCTCTCCAACTTAACGTTTAGGTTCAGTGTGCCTCTAACCATTCGGTGATCGCTACCAGTTTTCACCCTCGCGATCACGGAGACATCACTGAACAGTTGTCGTCTGGTCGTCATAATGAAGTCAATGTCATTTTTTGTGGAACCGTCGGGGCTCGACCAGGTCCACTTCCTGTGGGGCCGCTTCTGGAAGAAAGATTTCATCATAAAGAGTCCCTCTTTCTCCATGAAGTCGGCCAGCTGCTGGCCCCTTGGGTTCCGTTGCCCTATTCCAAATTTCCCTACTTTCAGCTCACCGTTCTCTCTTGTGCCTAGTTTTGCATTGAAGTCTCCCATTAACACCGTATATTGGGTTTTGGAGGAATGCATGGCTCTAGAGATATCCTCATACATTTCCTCCACCTCCTCATCGGGGTGTGCCGAGGTTGGTGCGTAAACCTGTATGACCTTCAGCGAATGCCGTTTGGTGATTCTGAGTATAAGGTACGCAACCCTCGTCGCCACACTCCCGATTTTTACAACGTTGTTAACGAGAGACTTGTGGACGATAAATCCGACACCTCCTTGGGACAGATGGTCGCCCTCCCGGTGATAGAGCAAGTTGCCGGATTCGAGGATTACCGTGTCCTCCCCCTCTCTTCGGACTTCGGATAATCCTATAATATGCCAGCGCAACTTGTCTATCTCTTCTTCCAGCTCCACGATCTTCTCGTCAGTCCTCAGGGTGCGTGCGTTGTACGTTGCCAGGTCGAGTCGTCTAAGGTGGCAACCGAACTTCCACCGGAGATTCTTAGCACCCCCTGCCCCGCCGTTACCATGGTCGCCACCGTAGCCAGGAATAGCGGGGCCGCCGGGGACTGGGGGCCGTTTTTTTGTTGCTCTCATCATTGGGGGGTATTTGCCATAGTTGCCACGCTTGGCGAGCGGGTTGGCAACCGCAGTTTTTTTATTGTAATTTGGCTATTATCAGGAAGATGCTGCTGCCCATCTCCTGGCTGTTTCCCTTTGTCGCCTTTTACGACACCCACGGGAGGATATGGGGTAGTGGATATTCTTGACCGCCACTACACGGCAAGAGTGTACAACACAGAAAGTTCCCTCAACATCGGATATCTCTATACCTACCACTGTGGACTAATAATTATGTCGATATCTTCTTTCTAGTTACCTCATTAAAGTTTTATTGCTTGAATAGTCCATAAACACTGAACTACTTATTAACTGCAAGACAGCTGTTAAAACCACGACCGTGGACACAACCTGAAACGGATGAACTTGAAGAATTAAAAAAAAATTAGATAGATAGATCTAGATAACTCTTTATTGTACACCAAAACTATACATGAACGAAAGAAGAAGGGAAGAAACATTTTTAGAGTCACAATGAGCGGTCTTATTGATCAAAGCGGTTTTTTCCAGACAACTTTTCGATGGACAGGATCGCAAATCGCAAGAAAATTGTGTGGTTTGGTGATGCAGAAACAAAACATTTATTACTTTGTAAATATATCAATTATATATATTGTAGCGCGCCATTATTAATGTCTTGTACATGGCAACACTAGTTACCACTAGCGCCCTCTAGTGTCGAGTAACAGAACTAGGAGAGTCTAGAGCCTTCTAGAAATTTCGGGACCGATATGTACTCGAACATTCTAGATGTTTCTACAGTAAAAGGTTCTGGAAACTATCTGAGGCCCTATATAAGGCCGCTATAGACCACGACCGAGTCAGTATTGAATTGGCGATACAAAACGAAACGAAATAACTGCGAACTAAAGTGATCAGTAGTACAATTGTGTTTTATTATTAGTGTGGTTTTAGATTGTAATTAGTGTTCTGTAATTAAAGTGTCAATTTTGGTAATTCAATCGGCAGTTTTTAATTGTCTAGAACCCCAAGCTCGTAACAATATCATTGCCCGCTGGGTTCCTCGCTGGTTCCGTAATACATCATATCAAAAGTCCACTGCTGAACATAGGCCTCCCCATACATGGCATCATAGGATTGATATTTTTCATAGTTGCTACGCTTGGCAGGTAATTTGACGATTGCAGTGCCAGACGTCTCGCATCTTTAACTGCCCGTCGCTGGCCTAGGTATTTTACGTTTGACGTAAACGAGATGGTTACATGGCCACCTATCGGGAGCCATAAGTTTTCTGGCATGTTCTATAGAAGTTACCTTTTATGACACCCACGGGATTAAAAATAGGGTCTTGATTTTACGCCGTCAGCTCACGGCATATTTTTGGAAGAGCTTTTATATCCAGCGGGGTCTTTAAAAAGGCAAAATACAAAGTAAAGCTGTAAATATATTTTAACTAACCGTTTCATGAAACGTCACGTCTCCCAGTTGCTGGTACCTGGCGGAGAGCAACGTGTTCATATAATGGGACTCCTCTTCAGTCATACTCATTTGCAAAGGAGCGTCGTGGTAAGACCTGGATGTATTCAATACATATAAATAAAATTGAAGTGTCTGTCTGTAATATCGAAATAATTGCCTTATACTGAGTTGGGAGGGTCCCCAGCTCAATAAGGCAGACATGCGTGCCCATGCCATAAATAAACATTTTTAAAAACGTTGTCTGTCTGTCTGTCCGGGCAAATTTTCAGAATGGCTGAACCGATTATATCGTCTAGGTTATATTTTATCCAAAAAACTTGGAGATTTTTTGAAAAAAGTAATTGATAAAACAAATGGTCCTTGTGTAAGAAACTATTCCACTTATGATCTATCATGACCCAATTACATGATAACACCAAAGTATGTAAACCAACAGCATCACTACCCATCTCAATGTAACACAAGGCAGTCTCTCAGCAACACGAACTCCCTTATAATTAATAGAATCAGGCGTTACTTTGCGGAAATCCATTATATAAAAGCTTTTAGAAAAATTTACTTCGCAAATATCCGCGTTATATATAACGTTATATATAACGCGGATATTTGCAAAGTAAATTTTTCTAAAAGCTTTTACGACCTCCCTTGCCTACACTACTCGTAGTAGAATACCCCAACGGGCATAGTAACGACAGTGGGACTCTTAGAATTACAGACTGATGTCTGTTAGTTTTTTTTTGCGCCCAGAAGCAAATGAAAAGGGCTACCCTCCGGGAAGCGGGGAAAGGAGGTGGTGAATGCTCTAAGCATATCACGGCAGCCGGCTGCCGTGGTTATGTGGGACTCACTGCGAAACCTAAGTGCCTACCCACTAAACACCACCTGTGAGACTGGCATTGGATTGTGTGGCATTTTTGCCGAATCGGAAGCGACCCTCTTTAGGGAAAAGGGGGCGCAGGCGGCGAGGAGCCGCTGAGAGGAGAGCCTAACTAAGGCAAATTAAAGGCGGGGAGAAGATTCAGCCTGAGCCGCCAGGAGGCGGTTTAGGTCGGCCGAAAGCTTGTTTGGGGGTCCGAGTAAAAGTTTCTCGGTCTTCGGATTCGATAGCGAGAGGGAGTGGGGCTGCATAGGAAGCTGCCTCACGAATGAGATGTTTGGGGTGAGACTCTGAGGCTTCGAAGAAGTTCTTAAAGTGTTTTTAGAAATTGCCGGATAGTGGGGAGCTCTAAGTCTCGATGCAAGTCGGCGTTACGGACGTACCAGGGTGCGTTCGTAGCCCGACGACAGAAGTGGTTTTGAACTATTTGGAGTTCGTTAATAATTTTGGGATTAGCATGAGCAAATATGGGGCCCGCGTAAGTCATAATTGGTCGTATACAGACCTTATGAAGGGTTGTTTCGCAGCGTCATTTTACTGTGTCGGCCCAGCATACTGTTGATCCTACTCAGATAAAAGCACGCGTTGCGAGTTACTCTTTTGACATGGGGGTAAGTTTCGTGTCAAGGGTGACACCTAGGTAAGTATTTGGCGGTCGTATGCCAGGGAACAGGGGTCCCTAGCATACAGATTGGCGGAATGGTAGTGGGGCGGTGTCGTTTATGATCGAAGTGAACGGTGGAGCTCTTCGCCGGATTCACATCGATACGCCATTTTTGGAATCAATCTCATAGGTCATTAACTGATTTTTGCATCTTGTTCCGTATGAAAGGTAGTGAAATACCTTTACAGTAGAGGGCAGTGTCGTCTGCAAAGAGGGAGAGCTGAACACCATTCGACGGGATAGAAATGTCGTTGGTGAACAGGATATATAGGAGAGGGGTAAGCACTGAGCCCTGAGAGACACCGGCTTTGATGGGACGCTGAGAGGAGAGCGTGCCTTCGTGTCTAAAACGAAAGGTCAGGAGGCCACGAGATGAACAAGACGATCAGGGAGGCCTATTTTGTAGAGTTTGTAGATAAGGCCTTCGTGCCCTACTCTATCAAACGCTTTTGCTAAGTCGGAAAAGACCGCGATGGTCTTATGACGACGAGGATAAAAACCGGTGAGGATATATTCCACAATACGGTGAACTTGTTGTGGACAAGAATGTTTCGCTCGGAAACCAAATTGGTGGGGGATGACAAGAGGGAATCGCCATCTGTGGGAAACTGATGGAGCCTCATGCGAGTGACAAGTTTGCCCATGGCCTTGAGGAGGTTGATGGGACGATGATTGGAGGGGAAGTTGTGAGGCTTTCCTGGCTTGGGGATACCAATGACAGTTGCTTCTTTCCACGTGGTGGGAAACTAACTAAGTTTGAAACAAGAAGTTGAAATGGCGTTGAAAATAATAGCTAAAAGAGTTAACACCTGCTCATGAAAATGTTTAAGGGCTTGGTTGGAGATGCCATCCGCGCCCGGAGCCTTTTTGGGCTTCAGTCCTTTGATGATGGATGAGATCTCATCATTGGACACAGTGATATGGTCAGAGACTGTGGGGCCTGAGTTCCGGCGGCGGACCTCATCCTCCACTGTCTGGATGTGGGAGGGGTCAGTGGGTTGTGAGCTAGGAGAGCATTGAGCGGCGAAGCTGTCTGCAAAGCACTCAGCCTTTTCCTCGTCCTCGAAGGCAATAGTACCATCGGGACGGGAGAGAGGGGGAGTTGCCTTTTAATCGCCTGTGCAATACTTTATACTGCTAAAACAAATGAGAGACTACCATTATACCTTCATTTGTTCAGCACTGCTATTTGGCAGCAGGAATAGGTAAGAGAAAGAGAGAGAGAGAGAGAGAGAGAGAGAGAGAGGTACTACCCTACTTCTGATAATATCGCCGTCCACTGCTGAACATGAGCCTCGCACGTTATATTGATGATTTACCGTAAGCTATCGTCAGAATATTTGCTAGGCAGATGGTTTGAAGCAACAAGCGTCTCCACGTTTGTAGTAAACAGGATAGTAATACCATCATCTATCGCAAGCTTCTGGGTGAACTCCTTTTCTGTTTGCGACTCCGTCTGAATAGGTACCAGCCTCTTACCGTTTTTTTTCGTCAAATAGCACTGCTTGAATTACTGTGTGCCCGTCTGAAGGAACTCCAGTATAATTAGTCGCTGTGAGGCATTACATTTTAGGCCTGAGTGACAACGCACCTGTATCGTTCTTTGTTAGAAGTTGACTACATATGGTCATGGACTGCTATCAGGTAGAACTGTATCGAAGTTCGTTTGTCACTTCAGTTTCACATTAAAAAAAACTATATAGTTATATAGTATTTCCTACAGTCGTCTTACAGCTCGTAAAGGTCGTAAGGCACTTGTTAACCCGTTGTAGGATATTTTTTATGCGTAGCATTGACTGTCGCAGTACCAGACGTCTCTCACCTGACTAAAGTGAACGGCAAAACTGCATCGATCATAATGGTCGGTTAATGAATTAATATTAATTTTCGTATAGCATAAAATATCAGCTTAATGCTGCTGTGTTTCGTATGGTGAGTGTAGTGACACTTTTTACTGGAAACGAGGCATTTTATTTTAGTCCTCAGCGGTTGACAACGCGTCTGCATTTTATGTGGGCCACAGCATCCACTTACCATCAGGTGGACTGTATGCTAGTTTGTCATCGTTATTCTATAAAATATAATTTGATTTTGCAAAGTTCTTCTAGAAAACATTACCTAATTAAAAAAAATTGTAATGTGAATCAAACCAAGGCACTCAGCTTTAAATTAGGCCGCTGTCTAGGTTTTTACTGTATTCGTGGAAACCCTTATATGGTTAATATGATAATAATAATATATTAAAATTTAGTTACCTGAACATGCCCAAGAAATAAAAGTTCAACCATAAATAGACCAGTATCTCCAACAGCAGAATGCCTGGTAGATTAAGCAACATAAATTGTGGGAACTCAATCTTCGGTCCAAAGGGGAATGTCCTTGAAATTCAGTTAAATTTATTTTTTATCCAACTGTGATCGAAATAGAAAGGACGAGTTGGTATGTATGTCTGTTTCTATCCATCAAATACAGCCTATAAAAGTCTACTGCCGAAAATAGGTCTCTCCCATAGATTGCCACATTAGGAGGATTTTGCCATAGTTGCACGATTGGCAGGCGGGTTACCAACCGCAGAGTATTATTTAGAGTTGTTGTCAGTAAGATGCTGCTGCCCATCTTCTGTTTTAGTTTTATCGTACCACGGACTGATATGTGGCAGTGGATATTCTTACACCGCCAATACACGGTCGTCTCTATGTCACCCTGCAACTACTAACTAGTTTTCTGTTAGAGTCAAAATCAAAACTGATTTGTCATAATTTTTTTTGAATAAAGCTGTAAAACAGTAGAAGCTTCTATTTTACATAATATATCCGAAACTTGGTTATAAATATTGTTAAATGTACAAGCTGTAGATTTTGTTTCAATAAAAAATAATACTGCAGTGATTCATAAGAGTGAAGACAACCGGAGACGCTTTTACTGGTAAGGCGGCATTCTATCTTAGTCCTCAGTGGTGACAACACATCTGCATTTCGATTCTTAAAGTTACTTAAAGTTACAGCCTATATACGTTCCACTGCTGGGCACAGGCCTCCTCTCATTTCTGAGAGGGTTTTAGGGTAAGGAAGTGTCCGCCGCGCTGCCCCAATACGTGTTGGCGAACTTCACATATCTTCGAAATACATTTTCTTTCTTATTTCTCAGACATGCAGGTTTCCTCACGATGTTTTCCTTCACCGCCGAGCACGTGGTAAATCAGCACTTAAAATTGCAATTAATAATTTCATAGGTGCCGGCGCCGGCGGGGTTCGAACCCGGGTTGCTCGCGTACTGTGAAATTTACCGCGAGCGCTAACCATCTGAGTGACCACGGATCTTTGATTCTTAATCGAGGATAAATATAGATGTCTATGGGCCACAGTGCCCACTTACAATTAGGTGGCCTGTCTCCTAGCTTGTCACCCTTATTCTATAAAAAAAATTGGTTATTTAAGTCCGGATCAATAGGGCAAAGGCAATAAATAATAATAAGGTGTGCTTACGTTTCACAGATTTTCTTGAAAATTTGATTCGTTCGGCTTCCGAATAATGTTGCCATACCGCCTGGAATAATTGTTTATAAGAGCAAAGAGAATATAACCACTACGTTTATATAAGACTCAAATGAAATAAGAACACATTTTCAATGCGAGTGTGTTGAAAAGCTTGACAATTTTATAAGGCGTAAGTTAGCAAAGGCACCTCAGTATCGTTTATATCATAACAAACGAGTTCTCCGAGGTCGTATTGTAGAGGTCAAATATAAACGTATTTCAATTTGTAGTCCCGTCAAATTAGTAACAAAATCACGTTGTGGCCAAGGCTATCGCCAAGTTTTTCTTGGAGAAATTTGATTTTTCTCGAGTTTAAATTAAGTACAACGTGTGAAAATAAAGTACTTGTTATTTATTCAACTTGCTATTTTTACTTTACGTATTTTTTATTGTTGTATCGCGAATGGGTCGGCTCGACTGGTAAAGGACCACGCTCCCACAAAATATAAGTAGCGGCACAGAAGCAGAAGCCTAGCAGTGACCGTTATTGCGCATAAGTCGAAAATAAGGTATCATGGTGTAGTAAGCGGGTCGCGAGTAGGGTTACCAGAGCTCGAGCACCTCATCGTTGTAAGTGTTTACAGATCCCCATGTGCTACTTATGACTATTTTGAAAGGATTGTGGAAGAAGTTTTACTTAAACTTAGCAGAACAAGTCTGTTGTAATATGTGGAGACTTTAATATCAATCTCCTTGAAACTTCTTCCATTAGTATTAAGTTTAGCTCATTGTTTAAATCGTATAATCTTGTTAATTTATTCTTAGAAGCGACACGTATTGCTGGGCCTAGTGCGACCTGTATAGATAACATTTTTACAGATGTTAAGCCCTTGCATAAATCAATTATTCAAAATTTAAGTTCAGATCACTGTGGACAGTTAGTATTACTACCTTACATACACAAAAAACAGAAAAATATGAAAGTTGTGTTTGTTCCAATAAATGAACATCGCTTGGAGAGGTTTAGAAGTAATATAATAAAAAGACTTCCATCACTTTCGTTTAAAAATAGTGCTAATTATTTGTATGCTACATTATTTAAAATTATAAGTTGTGAATTTAGTAGAACTTTTACTTCTAAAACTTTCTCTTTTAACAGTCGCAAATCATTTAATGAATGGGCGACAGTAGGAATTTATAAAAGTAGGCGAAGGATTATGATGAAAGATCATATAATAGTAGTGTTATATTTAGAGATTATGTAAAAACATATTCTAAAATATTTAAAAAAGTGTGCTCCACTGCTAAGGCTTTACATTTAAGCAACAAAATTAAAACTGCATCCGACAAAATTAAAATGACCTGGAGAATAATAAATAGTGAAACGGGCAATGTGAAACCGCGCAACTCGGATTTTCAATTGAATATTAACAATAATTTAACGCGATCTGATCAAGAAGTTGCTATGGCCTTTGAGAAACATTTTACTGATGTTCCTTTTTTGACAATAAAATCATTAAATTCTTCTCCTACTGTCGCCGAATCATTGCTCAAACAAAATGTAAAGGCTTGTTCAAATACTTCTAAATTCCATAGAGTACTGCCAAAAGATATCGTTAAATATTTTAAAACTATTGATGTTAAGAAAACGGCAGACTTATGGGGGATTTCCATTAAAGTTATTTTATCTATAATAGATATATTAGCACCTTATCTAGCCACTATATTTAATATAAGCGTCGAATCTGGTGTGTTTCCTGATTTAATGAAACATAGTAAAGTCATACCTATATTTAAATCTGGTAGTACATTAGACCCCGCCAATTTTAGATCAATTTCTGTACTACCAACATTAAGTAATTTTTTTTTAAATTATTTTAGTACAGATGTTAAGTTTCTTTAATATTAATAAATTGCTACATAAAAATCAATTCGGTTTTATAAGGGGTCGCTCGACAACTGACGCTGGAGTTGAGCTTATAAAAAATATTTTTTGTGCATAGGAGAATTCAGAGGATGCTTTGGGTATATTTTGTGACCTTTCCAAGGCCTTCGACTGTGTTCACCATGAGACATTAATCAGGAAGCTACAGTACTATGGTGTCAAGAACACAGCGCTTAAACTTATTATAAGCAGAAGGTTATTATCAATGGTAAAAGTTCTTCCGGGTCACCTGTACTAATGGGTGTTCCTCAGGGCTCGATTCTCGGCCCATTCCTGTTTCTGGTGTATATTAATGACTTACCTCACCTTGTAGGGGATAGTCATGATATAGTATTATTTGCTGATGATACTTCCTTGATTTTTAAACTTAAACGTCAATCATCTAAATGTGACGAAGTGAATAATGCTATATCAAAATTAGTGCATTGGTTTAACGTTAATAATCTGCATTTGAACGGAAATAAAACTAATTGTGTTAAATTTACAATAAACAACTGATGTTAAAAATCTGAATACCAATGTGTTTTTAAATGGGGAGGAATTGAGCCCTGTTGTATCCACTGTTTTTCTTGGCATCACTCTTGACGCAAAACTTCAGTGGGGCCCCCATATATCCAAATTAGCAAGGAGACTAAGTTCTGCAGCCTATGCCGTAAAAAAGATTAGAGGTCTCACTAGTGTCGAGACAGCTAGATTAGTTTATTTTAGTTATTTCCATAGCATAATGTCTTATGGGATTTTGTTATGGGGAAATGCGGCTGATTCAGAAACTATTTTTGTTTTACAGAAGAGGGCCATTAGAGCTATTTACAATCTAAAACCGAGAGAGTCTCTTAGAGATAAATTTAAAGAAATTAATATATTAACTTTGGCCTCTCAGTATATTTACGAAAATTTAATGTATGTTCACAAAAACAAAGATAGTTTTAGTAAAAAAAGTGATATACATTCTGTAAACACTAGGAACAAACACAAGCTAGTGATGCCAGTTTCTCGATTCCAGAGTCAGTAATTCATTCTTGGGGCAATGTATACGCTATTATAACAAGGTCCCGGAAAGTGTACAGGTTCTCTCTATTACCAAGTTTAAATGTTTTATTAAGCTGAAACTGTATAAAAAGGGTTATTATAGTATAAATGAATACATGGTTGATAATAACCCCTGGGAATGAGGTGGACGCTTCCAAGCAGTTTCTAAAATAAATTTTGTAAAAAGACAGAGGGTTTTTTTTCGAACCAGTGGTAAAGTAAAAATGACTTTCAATAAGAATTACACATGTAATGTATATTGAATAAAAATTATTCTATTCTATTCTATTCTATTCCATAAGCACGGTATATTTCAAATTTCACTCAATTTGAACCAGTCGTGTAAGAATTATAACTAGTCAAAGTTTCTAAATCTTGTCACTCACTGACTGACCGATCATCAAAACTTTAAGGCACTTCTAGCAGACGTAGAAGCTGTAAATTTAGAATGTAATTAGTGTTTAGTGTATAAATCAAGAAAAAATTAAAATATTTTGCAATTTCGGTACAGTTTTCTAGATAAACCAACTGCATAAAAAACTTCGTAATCCTATATAAATATATAGAATTACAAAGTTACATTTGCAGTGAATGAATCGGTGTACCTTTATATGTATAATATAATGGAATAATAGATGTAGATATAATTTTGTTCAAAGGTAACTTGTAAAATGGTCAACGGAATGAAAAAGCAAAAATGGGACATATCTTATGAAGTTGTACTAAAATCCCGCAAAGTATTAAGTAGACTAAATTGCCCGAAAATCCGTAGTTGGTATTCAAGAAGTAGATGGGGCCGGAAAGGAAAAAGTAGGACTATCTACAAGAAGAAATGAGATGCCATCAAAAACACAACTTTTAAAAAAAACCAAGTCTCGCAACTCAGTTCTTCTACTGTAAAAAGTTGTGAGATCCATGTAATACCATTGAAGTATAATGTACTTACGTACTAGAACAGCTATTTCAAACAAAAACTGTGCGCTACTCTATGTCATTGCGCATGCGCCGCTACTATATACTTATACTGTGCCGTAACAGTCTTACCGCGCATACGCGGTTTTTTTATCATAATAGATTATGTGTAGGTAGAATGATCAGTATTTTTGTTTATTTAGAGTACATAATATATTGTTAATTAATTTTACTAAAACGAGTTCAATTTTTAATAATTTGTCATTTATTTTGCATGATATGAGGTAAATTAATATGATAACATTATATAACATTATCACAATAGCATTTTAATTACATTTTTATATAAATATTTTATAAGATAACTACATAAATTGGAAGGAATCGATTCTAATGAAATAAATTTATTTAAATCTAGAACTGGGTCCCCAAAAGCCCTAACCTAAGTTCGCGTGAGGCATGGACACAGAGCTGATACTTTTTATATTATGCCTTATGAATTACTGTAAGATAACATAGAAAAATTTAAAAACTTCTACCATTTCTGTTTACACATGAATTATACATATATACACTTATTTGTTGTTTTTTGCTGAAAATTAATTTCAATTAATAAAATGTATAAATGTTATTGCAAAAATATGTATTAGAAATTTAATTAAGTGCCTTTAAACAATATGTTTTGTTAATTTTTGCCTTCTTCGTACTATATTTATCCTCTTCCTTCAAATGCAAGGAACAAAAATGTATGTATGATTTGTTGGTCTACGATTACTTTGGATGAATTTAATCCACTTTTCTCGGTTTTCGTGGTTTGGACGTGGAAATCTAAAAATAAAATAAAAGAATAATCAGCAAATATAAACGTAAAAAAATTAGCATAATTATAAATACTTCTATTTATTTCTACAAAAAAAATTGTGCATAATAAATCGTTCTACACTTGCTCACAGAAATGTCGTATCTGAACAAATTAATTTTATAATCTATTTTCCATGACACAAGTTGGCGCCAAATAAATAACTTTTGAATTATTAATCTATAATGTTTCTTATTATTTAAGTATCTTACTTACCGATGAAAAGTGATTCCTTGGTTTTTACTAACATTTCGTGATTTTTTTTTGTGCAATATCTAAGAACACACCCCGGCATATTTTATCAAGAGATTTTTTTTTAAATCAACACTTCACGTGACAACTCTACAAGCGCCTAGCGAGCGACTGATTAAAGTGCGGTGACATTGCCGCAGTTGAATGGAACAGCGTAATTTAGTGCAGTGTCGCCTCTAGTACGTAGTACATAATAACTCAATGTGTAATACCAAGTCGGTTAATTTATTCAATCCCTACTTGAGGGTCCTTGAGAGCCTTGGTAGCTCAGATGGTTAGCGCCCGCTGTAAGTTTCACAGTACTCGAGTAACCCGGGTTCGATCCCCGCCGGCACCAATGAAATTGTTAATTGGAATTTTAGGTGCTTATTTACCACGTGCTAGGCGGTGAAGGAAAACATCGTGAGGAAACCTGCATGTCTGAGAAATAAGAAAAAGAAATATTTTCGAAGACATGTGAAGTTCGCCAACACGCATTGGGGCAGCGCGGCGGCCATTTCCTTGCCCTAAAACCCTCTCAGAAATGAGAGGAGGCCTGTGCTCAGCAGTGGGTCGTAAATAGGCTGCAACTTTACTTTATTTGAGGGTCCTTCTGTTTCAAGTTATTACGTAATTAGCTAACCTAAAACATCTTATAGTGACCATATCAATATTAAAAATCTTTTATGTCTTAAAAAAAGAACTGAGTTGCGAGACATGGTTTTTTTTACAAGTTGTGTTTTTGAAGGCATAAATAATTATTGCGTTAATTTAACGTAATAACATAACGTAGTAGTAACATTCTATAGACACAATTAAACTAAAATAATAACTTTAGCTTAATTGTGTTTATAGAATGTTAAATAGTAAATACTCCAGGAATATCAAGCCTTACCTATCGACGAAGAATATGCGATGCCTAAGAAATAGAACGATGTTAAAACTGTAGGTTTTCGTGGCGAGCTCGTGCTTTTGTCATTCGCCTCATACATTTCTATTATGCCTAGCTGAAAACAAATCAAACCGTCCGTATAATCAAATCGTTCTGATTCTATAAGTGACACGATTAGAATTTGTTTTTAGTAAGTTTTTGAACAGGTACTTAGTTTCGCTTCCCATCAAAGAAATCGTGATTCGGTAATCACTCTGGGTTTCTTCCATTGCCACGTTTGGAAGTTGAATTGACGATCTCAGTGTTTTTTTTTTATACAACTGAAGTGACACGCTACTGCAGTCCATGGATACCTGCAGCCAATTTCAAATTAGAAGGCTACAAATACGTTACCACATCTGAGGACTAAGATGGAATGCCTCACAGCCTGTAGGTTTACTGACTCTCTGTAAACTTCAGACTCGAACACAACAGGTCAAGCAAAATTTGGCGGCCGAAATAGGTGAACGGGTGGTACCTATCCAGAAAGACTAGAAACAGAAAAGGAGTCCTCATCATCATCATTATTATCACTACACTTCTGAACATAGGCCTCCCCGAAGTAATACCACAAAGCACGGTCTTGAGCCCTTTGCATTCATCGACTTCTTGCATATCTTAGCAGGTCGTCACCCATCGTTCCATCTCAACCCACTCAGACAGACTAAGGGCAGAAAAGGAGTCCCATCACCTAAAATATTAATTCTCGGGAAAGGAATTTATCAGGCGCCTTACGATATTTTTGACATGTCCCATAACCGCGTCTTACGCCATCCACGAGACGAAATATTGTCTTATATACTACATAATATATCTTGTACTATTAATATATATTTGTTTATGTACTATTTATGTACACTTCTATATATTTAAATGAAAAGTATCTCCTTCACCAAGGACCTTCCTTTGCCTGGAAGAAATCGCTGTTTAGCGATAAGGCCACCTAATTGTACCTACATCTTTATATATAAAAATTACGTGTCACGTTGTTTGTCCGCGATAGACTCCTAAACTACTGAACTGATTTCAATGAAAGTTTGCACACTGTGTAGTTTGGTCCAACTTGAGAGATAGGATAGTTTTTATCCCGATAAATGACCCTCAAATTTTTTTATTGATAATTTAGGGATTTTTATAGGAAGGGTTGTTGGAGAGGGCAGAACAACGTCTGCCTGGCGAGCTAGTACATTTATAAATTTAAGTTTATTGTTTTGTGTGCAATAAAGAGTATAAATAAATAAAATAATATGGTGATGGATTCCCTTACGACATCACCGCGCGGAAACTCCAAGAATAAAAAAAATAATACTACATATTCTATGATGCAACTTAATTAAACTTATTTTAAATTAGGATGACAAACGAGCACCCAGTCCATCTAATGTGAAGTAAATGCCCATAGTCATCTAAATCTATCTTCTCCGTCCATTACAGCCTTTAAAAGTCCACTGCAAAACATAGGCCTCTCCTATAGACTGCTTCATCGTTCATCATCATTACAACCCTTCACAAGTCCACTGCTGAACATAGGCCTCCCCCAAGGAATGCCACAAAGCACGGTCCTGAGCCACCTGCATCCATCGACTTCCTGCATATCTTACCAGGTCGTCACTCCATCTAGTGGGGGGACGCCCTACACTTCGCCTGCCGGTACGAGGCTGCCACTCGAGAAACTTTCTTCCCCATCGGTTATCGGTTCTTCGAGCTATATGGCCGGCCCATTGCCACTTCAGCTTACTAATCCGTTGGGCTATGTCGGTCACTCTGGTTCTACTGCGGATATCCTCATTTCTGAGTTTATCACGCAGAGAAACTCCGAGCATAGCCTTCTCCATACCTCGCTGAGCGACCTTGAGCTTCCTCATCCGGCCAGCAGTGAAGGACCACGTTTCAGTTCCGTATGTCATCACTGGCAACACGCACTGGTTGTACAGTCTCGTTTTCAAGTTTTGAGGTATACCTGACGAGAAGATGTGCCGTAATTTCCCGAACGCTGCCCAGCCGAGTTGAATCCGTCGATTGTGATTGATTAGTGCTCCCAACAACTACCGGCATAGGTGTGACATGGACATTAAACATGATCTTTGTTTTGTCCATGTTCATCTTAAGACCTATGCGTTGGGAAGAACTATTGAGGTCATTGAGCATAGTGCTTAGGTCCTCCAGCGATTCTGCCATAAGGACTATATCGTCGGCAAATCGAAGGTGAGTGATGTACTCGCCATTGATGTTGATACCGTATCCTTTCCAGTCCAAAAGCTTGAAAACGTCTTTCAATGCAGCGGTGAAGAGTTTCGGGGATATGACGTCACCCTGTCTTACACCTCTCTGCAATTGGATAGGTTTCGTACTCTGGTTCTGTACTCGGATAGCCATCGTAGCCCTACTGTACAAGCACTTCAGCACTTCGATATACCGACAGTCCACTTGGCACCGCTGAAGGGACTGTAGTACCGCCTAAATTTCGACGGAATCAAAGGCTTTCTCATAGTCCACATACGCCAGACATAGTGGCAAATTGTACTCCTCTGACTTTTGTACAATTTGCCGAAGGGTATATATGTGGTCTATGGTGCTAAAGCCTTTTCGGAAACCGGCTTGTTCGGGAGGCTGGAAGTCGTCAAGTCTGCGCGCGAGACGATTCGTAATGACTCTCGAAAACAGCACGTAGACGCGGCTCAGAAGGGAAATCGGTCTGTAGTTCTTCAAGAGAGCGTTGTCGCCTTTCTTGAAGAACAAGACCACCGCACTTCTGCTCCACGCTTCCGGTGTAATGCTACCATGGAGGACGGAATTAAAGAGCTTCTGAAGGACTTCAAGTATCGGTTTTCCACCCGCTTTCAGAAGCTACGCTGTAATTCCATCCTCGCTTGGGGCCTTGCCGTTTTTAAGGTGCTGGAGAGCCATTCTAATCTCGCTCAGACTGACGTCCGGGATATCATCGGAATAATGTCGGATAAGACTCGCTTTTGGATCGTTACTCACACTCGCGTGTGGCTCCAACGATGACGTGTACAGCTGCCCATAGAATCTCTCAATCTCACTCAAAATCTCAGGTGCCCCGGAAACGATGCTCCTACATCCTGTCTTCAGCTTTGACAGTTGGCTCTTTCTGGCAGACAGATCTCTGGCAAAGACTTTGGAGCCTTGGTTTCCACGAGCTTGTCATTCATATCGTCCACTTCATTGCAGTCTTCTAGGCACTGAAAACGGTTTTGTAACTCGAGCTGAAAGGTTTCGGGACTTTGGATTAGAGCACGAGGGGGACGGAGCGATTTCATTAGACGAGACCTCTCCAATTTAACGTTTAGATTCAGTGTGCCTCTAACCATTCGGTGATCGTTGCCGGTTTTCACCCTCTCGATCACTGAGACATCACTGAACAGTTGTCGTCTGGTCGTCATAATGAAGTCAATCTCATTTTTTGTCGAACCGTCGGGTCTCAACCAGGTCCACTTCCTGTGGGGCCGCTTCTGGAAGAAAGAGTTCATCATAAAGAGTCCCTCTTTCTCCATGAAGTCGGCCAGCTCCTAGCCCCTTGGGTTCCGTTGCCCTATTCCAAATTTCTCTACTTTCAGCTCACCATTCTCTCTTGTGCCTAGTTTTGCATTGAAGTCTCCCATTAACACCGTATATTGTGTTTTGTAGGAATGCATGGCTCTAGAGATATCCTCATACATTTCCTCCGCCTCCTCATCGGGGTGTGCCGAGGTTGGTGCGTAAACCTGTATGACCTTCAGCGAATACCGTTTGGTGATTCTGAGTATAAGGCACGGAACCCTCGTCAACACACTCAATCTTTACAACGTCGTTAACGAGAGACTTGTGGACGATAAATCCGACACCTCCTTGGGACAGATGGTCGCCCTCCCGGTGATATAACAAGTTGCCGGATTCGAGGATTACCGTTTCCTCCCCCTCTCTTCGGACTTCGGATAATCCTATAATATGCCAGCGTAACTTGTCTATCTCTTCTTCCAACTCCACAATCTTCTCGTCAGTCCTCAGGGTGCGTGCGTTGTATGTTGCCAGGTCGAGTCGTCGTAGGTGGCAACCGAACCTCCACCGGAGATTCTTAGCACCCCCTGCCCCGCCGTTACCATGGTCGCCACCGTAGCCAGGAATAGCGGGGCCGCCAGGGTCTGGGGGCCCCGGTATTCCTGGCTACGTTATACTGGGCCATCTCTTAGTAACTTTATCCATTTGGGGGGTATTTGGCATAGTTGCCACGCTTGGTGAGCGGGTTGGCAACCGCAATTTTTTTATTGTATTTTTGCTGTTATCAGGAAGATGCTGCTGCCCATCTTTTGTTTTAGTTTCCTCTGTCGCCTCTTACACACCCACGGGATGATATGGGGTAGTTGATATTCTTACACGCCACTATACAGTTCGGTCTATCCTCTATAAAGAATCAAATTGCAGTGGTAACTAGACTGCCTGGGGACAAAGATGGAATACCTCGTATCCAGTAAAAAGTATCTTCGATTTTCTACTCGCACCATACGAAACACAAGCAGCATTGAGCTGCTATTTCACGCTGGTATTCTGTAAGACCGTGGGCCATCCCGGTTGTCGCCGACCCATTCATGCTACAACCATAATATAATTGCACCCTTGCTCTACCACGTAAAAACTATGAAACAAATCAGTCTATTCATTATTATAATTTGAATATAATATGTGATTGGCACGTTGCTTTAGTGGTGGAAAACCCCATTGCTGACAATGACGTCCCGGGTTCAAATCCCAAGTTGAGTCAAAATCAGTTACCTCGGAAAGCACGTGAAGCCGTTCGTCTTGCGCCTGATTTCTTGCCGGTCGTGTCGGATGACCGTCCCATCAGACTATGAGAGTGAAGAAATAGAGAGTGCACCTGTGCCAACTCTGCCTACGCATACACTCGGTTACTATAATCCTGCACTGCGTAGATGGCTCTTCTCCGTTGAGACTGACTGCCGTAACCAAATTTCGGTCTGAAGGACATTACTGTGATCTACATCTACACTTATAATATTATAAAGAGGAAAGATTTGTTTGTTTGAATTGAATAGGCTCCGAAACTACTGGACCGATTTGAAAAATTCTTTCACCATTAGAATCCTAAGTTATCCCTGATGAACATAGGCTATATAATATTTTCAAAAAAGCTAGGGATTCGTATGAAAATTTCGCTAATGTAACCCAAAGTGTGAAAAAATACCAAAAAGAATCCTTATATCGCGTACGCTGCGGAAACTATTGATAATAGAGCAAAGTAATGTACTTCAGTTTTATAGAGGATATCAATATCGACAAAAAAGCCTGCGATACCATATGTTTAATTATTACAGTTATGTCATAATAACTACTTTTTCATGTTAAAATATGAAATAGTAACGCCGGTACAAACTAGGCCACATTATTCGTATCAGTACCTGTACCATGCATAACCACCAATTATGTTAACCATGTAATTTTAGTAACATATTTCACTTTTTAAATCTTTGTTTGTTAATTTAGCAACCGTCCGTCGTGATGTCTCTCTCGAAGTTCGCATGTCGCAAGGCGTAGATACGTGATATACGCGGGTGAAACCGCGGGGCACAGCTAGTGTGAGATAAAACAATTAGCTAAGAACTAACCTTTTCAAGTTCTAGAATGATAGCCTTGACCAGAGGTATCATTAAGCCACACGTGATAATATTGGATATCCACATAGAGAGGAACATGGCGGTGAAGAATAGAAGGACACTTATCCTGAAATGATAACACACCTGATCTGAGTACCATTCTTGATGCCGGAATCCATATAATTATTAATTGAACCAATAAAATTACTTAGTCGGGTCATAAGTTCTGTCAAAAAGTTTTTTTTTAATTTTTGAATACTGGCTAGATGAACTACACTAATTTTAAAAATATAACGTTTGCGCTTGCCGAAAATAAAAAAGATTAATTTTCATTCACATGGAGTGGTCGAAGAAAGTAGATAGAGTAGCGGTTATCGCGTTGCACCGCTGGGGTTACGCGCAAAAAGAGATTTTCAATATTCTACAAAACTTGAAAATAACCCCACGAATTGTTTATCGTATCATCAAATGATTCACTGAAGATTCAAGCTTCGAAGATCGTAAGAGGATCGGCCGACCTCGTACAGTTAGGACACCCGCGATCATTAAAGCAGTGAAGGTGCGAATCCAACGAAATTCTGTTCGTAAACAAAAAATCTTAGCTCTTCAGATGGGCCTAAGTAGAACCACGGTCAAAAGAGTGATCAATGAAGATCTAGGACTAAGAGCTTATCGTATGAAGGCCGGACATATTTTGAACGAGCGTTTGAAAAAAATTTGGCTGGATAGATCCTACGCTTTGTTACGGCGTGTACGCGGGAAAAAAATGCCGCGAAATTTTGTTTTCGGATGAAAAAATTTTTAACATTGAAGAAAGTTATAATAAACAAAATGATAAGGTGTATGCCCACAGCAGTGAAGAAGCCAGCACGAGTATTCCGAGGGTTCAACGAGGACATTATCCTTCGTCACTCATGGTTTGGCTTGGATTCTCACATTCAGGCTTAACTGAGGTGTTTTTCTGTGAAAAAGGTATAAAAACCAGTGCCGAGGTGTACCAAAATGCCGTCCTAACAAACATAGTGGAACCTCTTTCTCAAGCAATGTTCAAAAACAGACATTGGATATTCCAACAGGACTCTGCACCAGCTCATAGGGCACGAAGCACGCAAAACTGCTCGTGAAATTCACTTTATCGGACATGAAGACTGGGCCTCTTCTAGTCCAGATTTAAACTCACTGGATTACAAGATATGGCAATATTTGGCGGAGAAAGTCTGCGCTAAACTGTGAATGTGGTGCGTGTTGCGATTGATGATTTGCCGCGTCGGTTAAGGTCATGTATTCAAAATAGGGGAGGGCATTTTGAATAATGTAAATAAAATTGTATTCTAAATTAAATTACCTTTCATTTCATATATAATTTCTGTATAATTATCAAAAAGTGTATTATTGAATTTATAAAAAGGTTTGACAGAACTTATGACCTAACTAAGTATACATGTAATAAAGGTAAAAAAACTTCACAAACTTCTAAAAATTATTTTTATATATATGTATGTGTCTGAGCTTGACGGTCACGCGAGTGCAGTGATTTTTCTCCGTCGCAAAAGTGCTCAACGCAATTAAAGAAGTTTTCACTTTAAAAATTATAAATGTAATAAAAATATAAATGCATTAAATAGTAATAAAGGTAAATCAACCTCGTGCTTGTTGTAACTTGGTTGCCAACCCGCTTGACAAGCGTGGCAACTATGGCAAATATTTTATGTGTAAATTTTTTCGTGGTAGAGCCATGCTGCATATATAGTAATTGTGTAGTTGTAGCACGAATGGGTCAGCTCGACCGTGGTAGGACCACACTCTCACAGAATACCAGCGTAAAATAGCAGCTTAATGCTGCTGTGTTTCGTATGGTGAGTGTAGAATACTGGAGACCCTTTTTACAGGAAACGAGGCATTCCATCTTAGTCCTCACGGGTGAAAACGCATCTGCATTTTGATTCGTAATCGAGGATAGATGTAGATGTCTATGGACCACAGCAACCACTTACAATCAGGTGGACTGTGTGCTCGTTTGTCACCCTTATCCTATGAAAAAACAAAAAAAATTACTAGGAACCAAAAATTACAATTCGTCAGTCAAAAACTGTCTATGTTTATTTCGCTTCACTCACTCAATAAGAAAGACAACAATTGTTTTGGAAATATACTAATAACCTTTATTTCCTTCAACTATCCTTCAATAGGCCTGCTGGAAGAAATTTCATCATGGAATAAGCAGTGCCTTTGTACATAATTATGTTTTTACCATTTTCCTATCGAAGCATATCTGTACATAAACTGTTAAATAAATAAATAATGTAGGCATATTTTAGTTTCTTCGGTAGTTTATTAAAGATCTTAGGTGGCATCAGGTGCCATACAGACGAAGTTATTTCCTTTTAGTGCAGTTTTAGTGATAGGTGTTTTTAGTTTGTGACCATGACGTCTACTTTACTAAAAATTATAAATATAAATGTAATAAAATTATAAATGCATTACATTTACGATTTAAAGGTAAATCAACCTCGTGTTTGTTGCAACTTGTTTGCCAAACCGCTTTGCAAGCGTGACAACTATGGCAAATATCTCCCCTATGAGGCAATCTATGGGGGAGGTCTATGCCCAGCAGTGGACTTTATTAGGTTGTAACGGTAACCGTAACGGCAACGTCGTGCTTTTTTTTATAAGATGCGTTGCGGTAATACAATTTCTACGTGGTAGAGCCATGCTGCAGCTATATTATGGTTGTAGCACGAATGGGTCGGCTCGACCGGGGAAGGACCACGCTCTCACAGAATACCAGCGTAAAATAGCAGCTTAACGCTGCTGTGTTTCGTATGGTGAGTGTAGAGAACCGGAGACCCTTTTTACTGGCAAAGAGGCATTCCATCTTAGTCCTCACGGGTGACAACGCATCTGCATCTTGAGTCTTTATTGAGGATAGATGTAGATGTCTATGGGTCACAGTAACCACTTACCACCAGGTGGACTGTGTGCTCGTTTGTCACCCGATCCTATAAAAAAAAATATAAAGTAGCTTGAGGAAAATTGGATATTCGAGAAATTAAATACTTTTAGTGGGTACGAGTATGTTGGTGTGCGCACCACTCCACTAGCCCACTGTTAAACATAGGCCTCGTCTATAGATTGCTTTATAGTGGATATATTTGCCATAGTTGCCACGCTTTTTTCAACAGCAATCGCAATTTTTTTTTAAATTGAATTTTGAAGTACCTACTGTCTATCTGTTTCATTTCCCTCTGTTGCCTCTTACTACACCCACGGGATGATATGGGATAGTAGGTTCTCTTACGGCACTTAATTATTCCTCTTATTAATGAAAAGGGGCGCTTTAATAATTATAATATTTGGTTCGCGTAAGTAATCTTCCGTGTTTAGACCGCAGTTTCACTCTCATAACTGTGAAGGTCTACTATATATATATATATATTTGTCTGTAATATCGAAATAACAGCCTTTAATTAAGCTCAAGGGGCTATTTCCATGGCATTAGACATGAATATTCATTTTTAAATTTTTTGCTCGTCTCTCTCCGTTTCTGTCTCTCCGGGATAATCTTTGGATTAAGATGAAACTTCACGAACAGATAGATATCAATTCCAGGAGAGATCTAGGCTATATTCTGTCTAAAATATTATGGAAGTTATTTGCAAAAAAACAATCGTAAAATATATGGTCTTTGACGATTATCGTAAACTTAAATGACGCTACATTTATATATTCAAGTCAGGTGAAGCCGGGGCGGTGTGCTAGTCACTTATTAACGTTGGACGTTCATAAGTTTTTATTTTACAACTTTACAATATAAACCGTGTAACGAATTAATTAGAAAGCAACACTGGCTGTTTAAAATGTACTAATTATACAGTCTAACGATTAACGAAAAAAAAAGAAAACTAAAAAGCATAACATAATTTCCATATAATAGCTTTTGAAGTTAGTACTATAAGTCATAACACAGAGTATTTTGAAGGATTAAAAGCTCGTCTGAACCAGAAGCGATATTGTGGATTTTTTTTTAAATTTCATAGTCTTTGTGTGCTCGTTTGTCACCCATATTCTATTAAAAAAGACCACGTCTAAGAGCCCTATGCCATCATTGGCAACACGCATTGGTTACCCGCACTGAACCTTCTCTAGTAGCAGCCTCGTAGTGGTAAGCAAAGTAGGAGGCCTAAATAGAGTCACGATCTGGTATGAGATGCAGGAAGTCGATGGCGTATGATCCGCAGTGGACTTGTGAAGGTCTGTAGTGAAGATTATAATTTAATCTTATTAAAAGGTGTAGGGAGTTTGGGTGGTCCTCACCTGTAATGCGAGCAACCGAAAATGAGTAATATCTTCAACGCAGCACGCCTGTGGAAGTTGCAATGTTCCATCGCCACAATTATGAACATAACTCCAAGACTATCCAGTAAAGCACTCGTCACGTAAATCTGGTTTGAGATTAGAATATTCGATTTATTTTTAAAAAAAAAGATACCTTACAGTAGGATATCTACTGTATCGTGGAGGCAGTTTACTTACATAAATTTTACAAAGACAAACATCCAGACCTGGAACAATTCGTCGCCAACGCCGCAAATGGGCGAACCTCAATTTTTCAAAAAATTACAAGAGAGCATGAAGACATTTATTATTCCTCGATTATTAGCTTTTTTACATCGGAAAATTAATCTTATTTGTAGTTTACCATTAAGTCTAATATATTTAATTTTCTGATGAAAATACCCAGTAATCGGGGAATAGTAAATATTTTCTTTCTCTACTGGAATTTTTTGAAAAATTGAGGTTCGCCCCTTTGCGGCGTCATCGACGAATTATTTGTAGACTATACAAATAGGTTACATGAGAGATTCGAACGCTCGGCCCTCAGCGCCGCAACGCATCGCTAAGCCACTGCGCCACAGAGCAGTCAAAACAATTTGAAAAACAGGTTTGTAAATTAGAAACAGATTTAATTTACATGAACAATGAAAATTATTGTATGTTTTTCAACCGACTTCAAAAAAGAGGACGTTTTTATTTGAAAACTCATGCTTCCATGTGGTCCCATATATATTTGATAAAGATGTGACCAGTAGTTTTTAAGTTATTCTTAATAATGCGTATTTAATACCAGCTAGAATACCAGCGTCAAATAGCAGCTTACCACTGCTGTGTTTCGTATGGTGAGTGCAGAGAACCGGAGACCCCTTTTTACTGGAAACGAGGCATTCCATCTTATTCCTCACGGGTGGCAACGCATCTGCATTTTGATTCGCAAACGAGTATAAATGTAGATGTCTATGGGTCACAGCAACCACTTACCATCAGGTGGACTGTGTGCTCGTTTGGCACCCTATACTATAAAAAAAATTAATTGACTTCGACTACATTGATGATGTTCTCATTTTATTTATCAATTGACTTAAAAAAAAGTAGGAGGTTCTGAATTCGACTGTATTTTTTATGTGTGTTACCTCAGAACTTTTTTCTTGGTGAACCGATTTTTATGATTCTTTATTTGAAAGCTGGTGATTCTCATGTGGTCCCATATAAGATTAAGGTCTCACTAGTAGTTTTTGAGTTATACTTAATAATTTATATTAAAGTCAGTTGTACAAAATTTTAATTTTATTACTTGTTAGTACTTAGGGCCAAAGCACACACTATATTTTTAACATCAGCAATCAGCGATTTTGTGATTGCTTCGATGCTGCATCGTCTTTGGACAACTTGCTGCGCTTGATCGCTAAGTTTCAGAAACTTTCGTCATATCTGGAATGACAACGTGGTAGAGCTATGCTGCAGCTATATTATGGTTGTAGGACGAATGGGTTGGCTCGATCGGGGAAGGACCACGCTCTTACAGAATACCAGCGTAAAATAGCAGCTTAACGCTGCTGTGTTTTGTAAGGTGAGTGTGGAGAAACGGAGATCCTTTTTACTGGATACGAGGAATTCCATTTTAGTCCTTAGGGGTGACAGCGCATCTGCATTTTGATTTGTAATTGAGGATATATGTAGATGTCTATGGGCCACAGCATCCACTTACAATCAGATGGACCGTGTAGTCGCTTGTCACCCTTATTCTATTTAAAAAAAAGCCGGCCAAAGAGTCGGACTCGTGCATGAAGGGTTCCGTATCATCGCAAAACACGTTTCTAATAGGTAAAAAATGCCTAGGTACTTTAGCCCTAAGCTAAGCGAATTTCTAAAAGACTGTCTATAAAATAGATAAATCTCTTATGTAGATAATAATATATATAGCAACTACCGATGTAACTATTTCCACGCCAAAAAATGTGAAAAGTGTAGATAACGCTAGTGACGTCAGAGCGATGACAGCTGGATGTGCCGCATCTGTGGTCCAGTACACGGCCGTTATAAGAAAAACGTAAAAACAAGGATAGGCCTGTAACAAAACGATATTTAATACAATATACGACATGTAATACAATAAAACTTACATCCTACATATTAAGTCCCATTTTTAGGCTGCAGTTATATTAGTAGTATAGTTGTAGCACGAAGGAGTTGGCTCGACCGGGGAAGGACCACGCTCTCACAGAATACTAGTGTAAAATAGCAGCTTAATGCTGCTGTGTTTCGTATGGTGAGTGTAGAGAGCCGGAGACCCTTTTACTGGAAATGAGGTATTCCATCTTAGACCTCACGGGTGACACCACATCTCCATTTTGATTTGTAATAGAAGATAGATGTAATGTCTATGGGCCGCAGCAACCATTTACCATCAGGTGCACTGTGTGATCGTTTGTCACGCTTATCCTATGAAAAAGGCCTTCTCTCATTTCTAAGAGAGTTTTAGGAGCAGGGAAGATACCGCTGCGCAGCTCGCATTGAAAATATTTTACGGACTTTAAGATATTTTATTTAGTTCTAGAAATAATTTTAAATTCTCTGACATGCTTGCAGGCTTCCTCACGAAAATCCCTTTTAGTCGAGTACTCGGTATATTGTACTTAACTTCATAGTAATGGCCAGTCTTAACGGAGATTGCGCAGGACATAATATTAGGGCACGAGTGTGTGCGAAATCGTATGTGCACTATATTGATTTACTCTCATATTCCGATGAGATGGCAATTCGACACGACCGGTGTGAACTCAGGCACAGAACCAACGACTTTACGTGCTTACATTTTTGGAATTCGAACCAGTCTAGAGACAGTCTAGATAATAACAATTTCAACGGCTTTGACAGGAATAATTCGGGTGCTTCTGATAATGTTAATTAAAAAAGGTGAGTGCGGTGGTATTGCAAGAGTTGCCATCGGAGGCAGATCTCAACCTCGATTTGTTCGCTCTTGTAGGACTGCATTACACAGTAAGTTTAGCCTTCTGCTCAACTGAGCTATACTGATATGATACTGAGCTACTGATAAGGCTGAGTCTTATCAAGCCTAAGCTGAGGCATCAACCTCCCGAGATTCAAACTCCAGCGCCATTAAAAAGAAGTTATAATTCTGCCTCCAGTATAATTCCGCCTCAGTGCGTAAAGCACTCCCCTCCCTAGATGTCAACAAGTTGAGCGGTCCTGATGAAGTCCCTTCTATTCTGCTAAAGACGTCTACTCCGTCGTAGGCACCGGTTCTAACGTGTCTTTTCCGTTACTCCTACTTCCTAGGACAATACGGTACAGTCTCTTCCCTCAACCCATTTTCGCGAGTGTTTAAAGTTATAAAATCGGTAAAAGTATTCAATAGCGTAAGTTTATTATTTGAAAATCAATAAAATAATAAAATGGCGGTTCTGGCGGGAACTTGACCGACGCTTGTACTCGTATTATCGTTTTAATAATGGTTTGAAGTAGATTTAGATACGTAAAAGTGGTGCGATTTTGTCATCGATCACCTGCGGATGTGAACTATTAGTATTAACGGTGAAACAAGTGTTCCGACGGTGATGTGAACCTCATGATAATGTGCCTGCTCAGCGATACTATCTTCACCGACTGTTGGCTCAAACTTCCGTCCAAATCTCCCGAAATCTTTACAATGTGATGCATCTACATATTGAGAAGTTTTTAAGGGACAATTTCTTATAATTGAAACTGGCCAAAGTACAACCGTACGAGTCCACTTACCAAAGAAAAAAATATAATGTATTCTTTTTATACTTATCCCAACTCTTGACATGGTGTGTGAAGATATTCTACATTTTCAAAGCATTCTTAAGAATTGAGAACTACAATATTTATTATATTTCGAACAAATGTTTTTCTGTATAGAATAAGGGTGACACACATTCCAGCTGATAGCGAATGGATGCTATGCCCCATTAACACCGAGGTACATCTAATTCTTTATTAAGAATCAAAATGTAGATGCGTTTTCACTTCTAAGGCCTAACATAGAAACCTTCTTACCAATAAAAACGGTCTCTGATTCTTTACACTCACCGTAGAAAACAGTTGTACGCCGGTATTCTGTGAGGGCGTAATCCTTTCTTGGTCGAGCCGACCTATTCGTGCTGTATGCAATCTTATTATAACTTCAGCGTGGCCCTACCACGTTAAAAAGATTCAGTAAAAAGAATTTAGTAGATTTTTTTGACTTTTTTACTGGTATCATTAAAAAGGTAAGGCGGGAAGTTGGGAAAATAGAGGCATTTTGTTAAAGAAAACGTTTACATTTTAGACGTAAACGCTTAGAGGAACTAGATGCCAGCTAAATGCGCAGATCTTAAGCACCTGTGGCTATAGAAATATAACTGCTGCAACAGTGTTCTCACTTGCACTAAGTGTGATCATAATATTCTCGCTAAGATCTGCTATTCTAAATTTAATCTCTGGATATGCGGGTACATGATCGAGCTAAACAGTAGAACTTCGATATAGAAGCCAAAAACAGTCTCTGTAGCCGAAAGCGGCTAGGAAGAGAGCGCTAGTAACTAGGTAGGTAGGTAGCAGATTAGTAGGTAAGCTAATGTTTGTTAGTCAATTAAAAATATTACAATTAATAATTAAAATTATAGCAAAATTAAATGATACCTCTTAAACTTACGTTATTTTCTCCAATGAAATAAATAGGTAATAATATTATAGGAACTGTCACAAATAAAACTGTTTTCCAATATATTTTGCAAAATATTTTAAGCTTATCTGTGTTTGTTATAATAACGAAGTTACTTTCTCTGAAATGAAAGACACATGTGAACCAAACCGATTCAGTGTATTGAACAATAGCTTTCCATTATCATCACCATCATCATTACAGCCTCACAGCACAATCCTGAGCCACCTGCATTCATCGTCTTACCAGATCATCATTCAATCTAGTTGCTTGACGGTACGAGGCTACCCCTCAACAAGCTTTCATTTCGTTGGTTTGTCGGTTCTTCGACCTATGGCTGAGCCATTATCACTTCAGCTTACTGATCTCTTGGGCTATGTCGATTACCTACTCTAGTTCTAGTGTGAAATTTCTCATTATGAAGTATATCACGCAGATAAACTCAGAGCATAGTCTTCTTCGTAGCTCGCCGAGTGATATTGAGTTTTCTCGTAAAGTCAGTTGGTTATATTATTGTATGCAGTCAGCAGTGAACGACCTAATCTTTACTTTGCAGTTTAAAAATATGTTAATCTGTGACAATATATACAATTTTAGGATAGTTTATCAAACTCACGATGATTTTAAGTCCATTTCCTTAAAATTATTATGTTATTGAAAATGAAAAGAAATTGACGTTTACAATCTCGATGGCTTTAATGTATATATATATATATATATATATATATATATATATACATTAAATATATTTGGTCCAACTTGAGAGATAGGATAGTTTTTATCCCTATAAGTGACCCTCAATATTTTTTATTACTAATTTAAGAATTTTTATAGGACACAGGATATATATATATATATATATATATATTAGTAGTTTATATATTAGTAGTTGGTTAAGCGAAATGCCACTGACTGACTGACTGCCTGACTCATCACGATATCTCTAAAATACTATCTATACACCTCATTGACTTATTTAGTATAGTTACTCTAGCCTATTAGCCAGTCTCCGTGTTAAATTATTTGCGTATGCAAGTTGCGATGCCAGTGATAATATTTGTCCAAGAGTTTATCTGGTTTTTCTGCCCTTTTTCTTCGATATTTCTGCTGCCAAGCAGCAATGAACGATGAAGGTGCATTACTGTTTAGTATTTAAAGAGGTAAAAAGGCATCTTGTAAGAAAGTATATTTTACTTTGAAAGATGTATATTGTTCCCGACTGATGTGTTCTGTTACTTTACTTACCTACAGCAAGAATATTAGCGAAATAAGTTAGATTAGGCTAAGTGAAGATACTATGTCTGACAGGAGATCCAAAATTTTACCTTGTCACAACAGCCTTCTTGAAGTAGCTTCGTGGTACTGGTAATAATTAAATAAAGTCCAATTTTAAAATTAATTTTGATATTATGTTTTCGAAAAGACAAGTATCAAGATTGTTTTGTCCATGTTCATCTTAAGACCTATCTGTTAGGAGGCACTATTGAGGTCATTGAGCATAGTGCTTAGGTCCTTAAGCAATTCTGCCATGAGGACTATATCGTCGGCAAATCGAAGGTGAGTGATGTACTCGCCATTTATGTTAATACCGTATTCTTTCCAGTCTAGTCCGGCGGCGCTGTCGTCGCGCCACAAGCGAAATACATCGAAACCTAAATCACGCTATCAAAGTTCCGAAGTAAAAGTAGTATAAATAGAATAGCTCCAAACTATCACACCTGCGCCCCCTTTCCCTAAAGGGGGTCGTTTCCGATACGGCAGAAAGTCCCTCCAGGCCAAAGCCAATCCCACAGGTGGTGTTTAGTGGGTAGGCACTTCACAGTGAGTCCCAAATAATCACGCAGCTGGCTGCGTGGTATGCTACGAGCATTCACCACCTCCCTCCCCCGCTTCCCGGAGGGTAGCCTCTTGCTTTGGGCGCAAAAAAAGGAAAAACTACCACTCGGAGCGTTGGCCTCTCCCCGGGCAGAACAACTCGCCCGGCGGCAGATCTCCCCTTTTCCTTTCACGGCCACAGTCGTGACCCCGACGTGATGTGAACACGCAACCAACAGCCTTCGGAAACCACAACTTCAAGCCTTCGTCATAACTTCAAGAACCCCAACCATTCACTCCTGAGAATCGTCTTCTGCAGTCTTCAATTTCCGCAAGTCAGTCCAACTTATCTTCATCTCGATTCACCGCAGAATTATAAGGCAGACTTCTGGCACTTGCTCCGGCACATCGTACTCACCGGCATCACTTGCACTACGCTCACAGCATGCATTCCCCACCGGCATTAAGGACGCACTGGCAAGCGGACGTGCATTTCGACTTCCGGTCTGAGCAGGCCGGGGAGTGATGTGGCAGCGCTGTCGTCGCGCCACAAGCGAAATACATCAAAGTCTAAATCACGCTATCAAAGTTTCGAAGTAAAAGTAGTATATATAGAATAGCTCCAAACTACCCCTCGGAGCGTTGGCCTCTCCCCGCCCGGGCAGAACCTCTCATTCTTACTTAAAATCTCAGGTTTCCTGGAAACGATGCTGCCACATTCGGTATTCAGCTTCAACAGTTGGTTCTTTCTAGCAGCGTCCTTACAGTGAGCTTACAGTATCTTGAAGTCTTGCGGTGGTATGCTTGGGTTTGGATTTAATTTTGTTAATTATAGGATCCCAAGCAGATGGTAGCACTCTCCATCTTCTGTATTGAAATTAGGATGTTTTTTTTTTAAATTTTAATAGCCTCGTGTACCATCCTGGGTAGGAATCGGTATTCTTTTGCGAGGATTTGTGGTCTATCAATTCTGATGTAATGGAGGGGACGATCTTGAACATGTTCACAGACTGCAGACTTCCCAGCGCGTGCTTCGCGTCAGCTATATGTTCTTTCATGCGGGTTTTAATAGATCTTTTTGTTTGTCCTATGTAAGAGAGATCACATTCGCAATCAAGCTTGTACACTCCTGCATCTTCTAGAGGGATATTACACATGACGGATGGTAAAAATTGACTAATCATCTTAGGCGTCTGTGACCCCAGTGTCATAGTGTAGTACAGCAGGCACACACTCGACCGTGGCCGGCTTCACTCGGTCACTGTGACATGCGCGGGACCCGAAGCTTGTTGTCTTGCAATATTTGCTCAACGTGCTGAAGCTAGTCGGACAAATGTTTTCTGTCACCAATCCCTCGTGCTCTCTGAGACAAAGATTTTTCCATGGTAGCTAACTGTGGTGGATGATGGTGAGATTCACCATTTAAATATCGGTTGGCTTGGATCTTTTTCCTCTACACATTCTATAAACATGACATTGGGATGTCAAACTCATCAAAAATCAAAAATCTTAGTCCTCCATGTGACCATGGGTTGGTGTAAAGCACCCGAAACGTCGGGATTTAAAAATAAGAAAATTAAACGCGATAAAATCCGTAAACATAGTTTTATTCAATGTGTAGTGTTAACGTAAATATAAGAAATCACAATACCTGTATGCTGAAGACTGCAGATTCATTTTCCGTCTAAAAGTCATGAAATTAAGAGTGTGATCGGAGAGTTTCTGTGTTCTTCTGCGACGGGTCTTGCAGAACTTAGCTTCGACCGCATCGACAGTTTCCACGAGCTTTTCTTTCATATAGTCCACTGCATTGCAGTCTTCTAGGCACTGAAACTGGTTTTGTAATTTGCGCTGAAAGGTTTCGAGACTTTGGATTAGAGCACGAGGGGGACTGAGCGTTGACATCATTAAATTTATACGTGACCTTTCGGCTCATACATTTCGGCTCATGGCTCTAGAGCCACGCTGCCGAAATGTATGAGGATATCTCTAGAGATATCCTCATACATTTCCTCCACCTCCTCATCGGGGTGTGCCGAGGTTGGTTTTTTTATATAGGATAGGGTGACAAACGAGCACACAGTCCACCTGATGGTAAGTGGTTACTGTGACCCATAGACATCTACATCTATCCTCAATAAAGACTCAAGATGCAGATGCGTTGTCACCCGTGAGGACTAAGATGGAATGCCTCTTTGCCAGTATAAAGGGTCTCCGGTTCTCTACACTCACCATACGAAACGCAGCAGCGTTAAGCTGCTATTTCACGCTGGTTTTCTGTGAGAGCGTGGTCCTTTCCCGGTCGAGCCGACCCATTCGTGCTACAACTATACTACTAATATAGCTGCAGCATGGCTCTACCACGTACAAAAACGTGCGTAAACCTGTATGACCTTCAGCGAGTACCGTTTGGTAATTCTGAGTATAAGGTACGCAACCATCATCGACACAATCCCAATCTTTACAACGTTATTAACGAGAGACTTGTGGACGAGAAATCCGACACCTCCTTGGGACAGATGGTCGCCTTCCCGGTGATAGTACAAGTTGCCGGATTCGAGGATTACCGTGTCCTCACCCTCTCTTCGGACCTCGGATAATCCTATGATATTCCAGTGCAACTTTCTCTTCTTCGTCATTCGATCTTTTCGTCAGTCCTCAGGGTGCGTGCGTTATAGGTTTCCAGCTCGAGCCGTCGTAGGTGGCAACCGAACCTCCACCGGAGATTCTTAGCACCCCCTGAATCGCCGTTACCATGGTCGCCACCGTAGCCAGGAATAGCGGGGCTGCCGGGGACTGGGGGCCGTCTTTTTGTAACTTTTATCATGGCAATATACCCCATATTGCCAAAGTTGCCACGCTTGGCGAGTGGGTTGGCAACCGCAGGTTTTTTAATGCTGTTTTGCTATTATCAGAAAGATGCTGCTGCCCATCATCTGCCTCAGTTTCCCTCTACATACAATAGCTGTTCGCGCAAAGCGCTGTTGTCGGAATCGACGTCTAGGGGGCGCGCGGCTCTGGGCGATACCGGTTTGAAGTTCTTCCGAGCGTGGAGTGGCGCGCGGGTCGCGAGTAAAAAGTCAGTCGTCTGCTAGATGTGCTAATGTCTGCACGCTGTTAATTTTGTGCGGGAACCTCGGAATAGTTAGGGCGTCTAGTAAATATCCTGTCTAGGAATTATAACGCGCATTCCCTGTTTGGATAGCCTTTCCCGGGATTTATTGGGTCCGACTCAGAATCTGTATAAGTGCATTCGACAATATTAGCTAGTGCGGCCTCTGTATTCGAGAACTAACTGTTGCAACGCGAAACGGTAGTGACCTTTGATCCCGAAACTCCGTGCGTGTAACCTTATACCCCGCGATAGTTAGTGGCTCCTGTAAGCTAGTTAATCGTACGATAGAGTTAAGTGACTGTCATCGTGACGAGAGAAGAAAGTGACTGTGGTCCGGCGCCGAAGCAGTCTGAAGCAGTGTGGACAAACTCGGAAGCCCCCTCAAGTTGGAGCGGTGTCGACGCTCGGGCTGCTGCCGACGGCCAAGGTCTAGGTTCAATCACCATCAGTCACACCCAGATACACATCACATCACTTATTTCCCTTTCACTACACAACCACATGTGACCTGACCGACTCCGGAGGGACCAGTCGCCTTGGATATAGGTAAGTAAACTCCGCCTAATTCCTCTGCCGGTCGACTGGCCGTAGTATAGAACGCTCCCCCATATATTTAGTGTAATTAGAGAGATTCCACGTGGCCACATTGGGGCCCGACCTACGTCTGCTCGGGAAGTCTTCAGCTCATGGGCCCCTGATGATTCGATCCTGTAAGGGAGCAGCCGTAGGCCGTCACAATAGCTACATATAATATATATAAACAAACAATAATATAGTAAAATAATATATATATATATATATATATATATATATATATATATATATATATTAAATAACAGGATGCAAAGAAATGATCTCTAACACGTTTTTTTAAATACCAATAATGTTTCAGAATTTCTTATATTAGACGATAGTGAGTTCCACAACATAACCGCGTGGACAGAAAAGAAGTGTGAGTAAAAACCGGAATTATGGACGGGATAGTTAAGAAGAGTTTTAACAGGGGATCTGTACAGTTTATCCGGAGAATGGGTGAAGGAAAATCGGCTTCTGAAGTATGAGGGAGAAGATGGATTGTGTAGGATTTTTTAGAGGAGACATAACAATGGAGTGTTCCTACGAAGTCGAATTGGGAGCCAATTGAGTTGCTTGCGAAACTGGGATTCTCGTTAAAATGTTTTGAGCTCAAATATGAAACGGATACACTGATTTTGCAAGCGCTCGAGTTTAAGGAGCTCCTCTGTAGCGTTTTTCTGTTTATCCTCCCAAAGAAAGCTAAATAACATTTTGTAGTCGGTTTCTAGGAAAACCAATTAAGAGTCAATAAATGTATCATCAAGTAAGCATTTTGGAACTTATGTTTACAGTTATAAGTTGTTGAAATGCAACATGTTTCCATAGTAAGAAACACAAGTGGTAAAATTAAAATTTTTGTACAACCGACTTCAATATAAATTATTAAAGATAACTCAAAAACTACTGGTCAGACCTTGATCAAATTTATATGGGACGACACGAGAAGCACCAGCAAAATCATCGAATTCGATTCACCTAGAAAAAAGTTATAATGTAACACATATAAAAAAAACATACAGTCGAATTGAGTACGTCCTCCTTTTTGAAGTCGGTTAAAAATATCTCGAACCAATAAAGACTTAAATCCTTTTTACGAGGATATTTTTAAGATTACTATACTGATACACGGTAATGAAACGAAACATCTTCATAATTAATGGTCATATCAAATTGTCGGTTTTACCACAAAACTACCAGAAAAAAATCTAAGTTGACGTGTAGTTTTAACAAATTTTCGCAAAAAATTGCAAGTAACTGGTTTTACCAGTAAATACTCGATATTACAATAAGCTCAGTTGTGAAATGGTTGATAAAGTGGGAAGACGTTTAACGTTCTGTTAATTTTATTTATATCCTACAAAATTACGAAGCGAATACTTGTCTTGATATAAAAAAAAACAATGACCGTTGAATTAGAATACGATTATGATGCGGCAACGGCAAATATGGATACATTCTCACAAAATGACATAGATTTTTTGCAACAGTGGGCTCAAAAATTGGACAAATCGAAATACGTGCCAAAGGACTTAACGAATAAACAACTTTTATTATTTTATAGTGCTTGTTATGGAGATATAGACAAAACAAAGACTTGCATTGAAAAATATTATCGGTTCAGGAGGAGTTCACCTGAATTTTTTGATGATCGTTATTTATATTCTGAAGAATTGAAGATCAGTACTAAAGTTATGTAAGTACCTATAACTTTTTTATAAATTATTAATTCCATGTAGTTTTTTTTTTTCAATTCCAAAACACTTTATTAATTATTTACGTTGTTAAAACATAGTATTAAATTAAATATAACTAAAAGCTACACACAATATTAAAAAAAAAACTATAATAAAGAAAAAAAAAGGATTACTTTTAGGACACACGTTGTTCGGAGGTTCTTACACAGTCTTCACTTCCCACATCTCACTTGTTAATAATTTTAAATTAATGAAGTATGGCTTACAACTCTCACTTTGGTTAAATTTAAAAATGGCTCGTAAGCATTTCTTTTGAGCTTTAAATACTGTTTCTTTGTCCTTACAATTACCCCAGAACATAATACCATATCTAAGTGTAGACAACATAAGCATGATATAATGCCATTACGGCGGATGTGTCTACAACTTTTCCAAGCATATATTATATTACTTTCTAAATCTATTTTATTTTTATTTACTAGTGAAAATAACTGAGCTATCGTCAGCAAACTATACCATATTGTGATTAATGACGTTGGGAAGGTCGTTGATATAGATAAGTAATAACAATGGTCGTAAAACACTTCCTTGTACTCCAGTTTGTACGACTCTGTATTCAGAAACATAGCTTATTTCTTTTCTTGATTTTAGATAAATTTTTGTAATGTGTGTATTTTGTTTTCTGTTAACTAAATATGACCTTAGTAGATCTAGTGCTTACCTTGAATACCGGAGTCTATGCTGAACAAAGTCTTGGATTGGGGGCGACTAAATCTAGTCTAGTTGAGTGACCTTCAAAACCATTGATGTAAAGAAAACCGCAGATTTGTGGGGGATTTCCGTTACAGTGATTGCGTCCATAATAGATTTAATTGCACCTCATCTTGCTATTATTTTTAATACTTGTATCGATTCTGGTGTGTTTCCTGATTTAATGAAGTATAGTAAAGTAATACCTTTATTTAAATCTGGTAGTACATTGGACCCCGCTAATTATAGACCTATTTCTGTACTACCAACTCTCAGTAAAATTTTTGAAAAAATAATTTTGGATCAATTATTAATTTTTTTTAATACAAATAAATTACTTCATAAAAATCAATTTGGTTTTACAAGGGGTCGCTCGACGTCTGACGCCGGTGTTGAGCTTATGAAATATATTTTTAATTCCTGGGAGAATTCACAAGATGGCTTAGGTATTTTCTGTGACCTTTCCAAGGCTTTCGATTGTGTTCATCATGAGACATTAATCAGGAAACTACAACATTACGGTGTAAAAAATTTGGCGCTTAGACTTATTACTTCATATTTAAATAAAAGAACTCAAAAAGTCGTCATCAATGGTAAATGTTCCTCAGGATCGGTAGTATCAATGGGCGTTCCTCAGGGCTCGATTCTTGGCCCATTCCTGTTCTTAATCTATATTAATGACTTACCTTATCTTGTAGGGGACAATCACGATATAGTATTATTTGCTTACGATACCTCTTTAATTTTCAAACTGAAACGGCAGTCAATTAAATATGACGATGTAAATAATGCTCTATCGAAACTAGTACATTGGTTTAACGCCAACAATTTGCTCTTAAACGGCAATAAGACAAAATGTATTAAATTTACAATACCTAATGTAAAACATTCGAAAACCAATGTGCTCTTAAATGGGGAGGAGTTGAGTCTTGTGGATACCACTGTTTTTCTCGGTATTACTATTGACGCGAAACTTCAATGGGGCCCCCATATATCTAAATTAGCAAGCAGATTTAGTTCTGCAGCATATGCTGTAAGAAAGATTAGAAGTCTCACAGATGTTGAGACAGCTAGGTTAATGTATTTTAGTTACTTTCATAGCGTCATGTCTTATGGAATTTTGCTATGGGGTAATGCGACTGATATTGAAGCTATATTTGTTTTGCAAAAGAGAGCCGTACGGGCGATTTATAATCTAAATTGTAAAGAGTCCCTTAGAGAAAAATTTAAAGAAATAAACATATTAACTTTGGCATCGCAATATATTTATGAAAATGTAATGTATGTACATAAAAACATAAATAGCTTTAATAAGAATAAGGATGTTCATACCTTAAACACTAGGAACAAACATAAGCTTGTAATGCGACTAGGGCATGCAATTCGGATATCCGGATATCCAAATTATTCGGATATTCGCCTAGTTTATTATTCGAATAGTATATTTATAATTATTCGGTTTTTACGAATATTTCGAATACTATCTTATTTTGATTTGTTATAAATATCCGAACGTAAACCTGCTAAGTTACGTGAAAAACATGCGTGTATCCGATTGTGGGTAGTCAGTCATCACGTAGCCAAAGCCTAAAATACAAAAAAAAGCTACTTACCTTGTGTGCATAGTGCAAACGATTTTACATTTCGTATCTTTGCGATATTGTTGTTGATTTGATTGATTGATATTGAAGGAAAAATTGGAATATTACGGCTGCTCAATACAGAACGATATCTCATGCATAATCTCTGATGGTGCAATCGTAATGTGCACACTAGGGAGAATGGTTCCCTCTTATCGTCAGTTATGTTTGGCCCATGGTATTCAGTGCTACGTCAAAGCTGATACACAGAAGGTTACATCGGCATCACTGTTAACAGACCTTGCGATAGCTCTAACTCTGAGGACGAAAGTGATATAGAGAACGAAAATGAAAATGGTTTCGTCATCAAAGCTGATCCCCGTGGGGTCATTCCCAAGCTGGTATATAAAGAATTGATAACTAAAGTCCGGAAAAAAGTAAAATTTCTCAAAGGTTCGCCTACTCGCATGGATATACTAAATTCTTACCTGGAGTCCAAATCTAAAGACACGACACTGATCGATTGCAAGACTCGTTGGAGCACCCTTGCTGATATGATAGCAAGAGTTCTAGAATTCAAAGACGCAATTCAAAAGATATTAATTGATCCCAAAGAGAAGACTCAAAAGAGCGAAAATCAAACTTACTAACCGCTGAAATTGCACTTCAATTCATGATGGAGAAATTGGCGATGAACTCAGAAGTTATTAGTGGCCAGATTAAAGAAGCTTTAAATAGAAGAATCTTGCAGAGGAGAAACTACACTGGTAAGTACGTTACAGTACTTACATAATCCTACAAAATATTATGCCGAAAGGAATACTCCTGCATTTTCAAAGGCATCCCACGGGAAATAATAGCCTTGATTGTAAAAATCAATGAAACTTATTTTTGCAAAGATAAAGCTGCTACAATTGTCTTTGAAGTTGAAGATGACCAGCCTTTAAGAGAAATACAAAGACAACAGCGCCTTGAAGATGAGAGGGAACAGGAGACAGCCAAGACATTTAAGGAACAGTTAAAGACAAAAGTTAATTAATCCTTGCACAATGCTGATGAGGTATCAACAAAACATTTGTCCGAAAACGATGACTTGGAAACATCTGTCAGGGTGGAAATGGCGTTATTTGATCGAAGGGGCCCTAAAAGCCCCATCTACGTGTTTACGATTTTTTACTTACCATCCCACCTACAAGTATTGAAGCAGAACGTATATTTTCGGCTAATAGATATTTTTGCAATCATTTGAGATGTTCATTCAATGACGATACGTTAGACGCCCTCAGTTTCCTACGGTCATACTTTATGAACACCAAAAAAGTAAATTTTTGTATTTTTAAGTAAGTGTGGATAATTAAAAAGGTTTCTAATTAAAATGTTTAAGTAATAATAATGTTTCTTTTCACAAACTTAAGCACTATTCGTAAAATTCGTATTATTCGAAGTATTCGAATATTTTTTATTTAGTTATTCGGAAAATCCGAATACCTTTTTTGGACGAATAATGCATGCCCTAAATGCGACTTACTAGACTCCACAGAATTAGTAATAATTCATTTATGGGGCAATGTATACGGTTTTACAACAGAATCCCAGAACATGTTCAAAGTTTGCCAATAAACAAGTTTAAAAGTTTTATTAAAGAAAAACTGTACAAAAAGGGTTATTATAATATCAAGGAATACATGAATGAAAATAACCCCCTGGGAATAAGGTGATCGCCACCATGCTGGTTCTATGAAAATTCATTTAAAATTGTTAAGTGAAATTATGTTTAAAAAAAAGTTCCGCTGGGTTTCTTGCTGGTTCTTCCTAGGACAGAGGTATTTTCCGAACCAGTGGTAAATAAAATAATGACTTTCAATAAGTATTATGTAATAATCCATATTGAATAAAAATCATTCCATTCTATTCTATTTTATTCTATGACCAGAAGATACAAGATTGCGGGTTTACCGCTAAAAATAACCCCTTTGTCTTTGTCTCCTCAGTTTCAATGCACTCCCTGTGCTGCCTTAGCTAGCATTGGCATCCTCGGCGTCGACATATCGAGTGACGTGCAGTTTCGTGTTCACTTGGAAGGGAAGGCCAAATTGGTCTTTAAAAAGCTTGGGGTGCTCAGAAGAGCAATACAGTATTTCATGCCAGTACATCACTTGCAACTTTGTAAAGCGCAAGTTTGGCCTCAAATGGAATACTGTTCTCATCTCTGGGCCGGGGCACCCCAGTGCCAGCTTCTTCCACTTGACCGCATCGAGCGCAGAGCGGTTCGAATTGTCGACGACCGAGTTCTTTCTGATCAGCTCGATTCACTGGCGCTGCGTAGGGATGTTGCATTTTCTATCGAATCTACCACGGGGAGTGCTCTGAAGAATTATTCGGATTAATTCCAGCCGCCAAATTTAACGAATGCACATCGCGTCAAAATTCACTATAACATCCTCACCATTTTGATGCTTGGCGGTCCACCACTGCGAGTTTTACTAGGAGTTTTCTTTCTCGTACAACTTCTCTGTGGAATTATTTACCATCGGCGATTTATTCCGGACCGATACGACTTAGGGACCTTCAAGAAAGGAGCTTACACCTTTCTAAAAGGCCGGCAACACGCCTGCAATTCCCCTGGTGTTGCGGTTGTTCATGGGCGGCGGTAGTCACTTACCATCAGCACGGATAGCATGGGCTGGGGACAAAAAATTTATCCGCCGATTATATCCACTGACAAGAGATAAAATTATCTTGTCCTTACACGCACGGCAACGTGTAGAAGTATATCCCCGTTTGACATAACAAGTAGACATATATACCCCGTCCGTAGCATGTAGCCGAATGAAAGATAAAAATTATACTTTGTTGCCATTTCAATGGGAATATTTTATCCTAGTACATTGGACGTCGGTTTAAGTTTATATTCATACAAAAAATCTGTCTAAATCTAAATCTATCTCCCATTTTATCTACTGTGAATATTATATCCACCGGTATGCCCATGCTCGAAGGGTGGACAAAACTAAGCGAGGGGATAAACATTTTCTCCTTTCCCCGGGGATCAAATTGTCTCCTGCACATGCTAACCCTGCAGGTGAGCCACATGCTCGTTTGCCCCCTCTTCTATAAAAAAGGCTTCAAGCTTTTTTAGTAATATTTTATGATGAACATAATTGAATGCTTTAGTAAGATCCATGTAAAGTGCACGTACAGGTATTTTATTGTTAAGATTAGACATAACGGTATTAAAAAAAATTGTATAGAACTATAAGCATTTATAAGTCTTATTTTATCTTAATCCTATTAGTTCTTCTCTAAGAATATTGTATATATCTTTTTTTTTCTTCATTGTAACATTATTTTGTGTGTACATAAATTGTTAAATAAATAAATAAAATACGTTTCGAGGTAATTATACAAAGAGTTATAAATTATTTTTTCAAATACTTTTGGGAGCACAGGTATAAGTGCAATAGGCCTATAGTTAGACATATTCCTCCGATTATTATTTTTGAACAGTGGTTTGACAATTGTAGATTTTGTCTTTCTGGAAATATACCATTACAAATAAATAAATTGAAAATATAACTAAGTACGGGAGCAATTGCACCGGATACGTATATTTCAAAACTCTTGTACAAAGTGTGTGTATATATATATAAGGTCGACGCGTATATGCAAAGAGATTTAAATATATAGGTATACTATAGAGCGAACATTGGGAACATTTATATACAAAAACTTTGAGCTAGTGCGCGTGTGGTACCCTCTAGCTAAAAATAGCAAAACAACGCTAAACATTTATTAACATAATATTTTAGCTATTCCCCAGTAGGTGACGCTAATAAATATAACCTCGTTTTAGGAATGGTACCGTTTCGATATCAAAGTATCGATAATGTTGTTGAAGATTACTAAGTTTGAATTGCTTTTCGATATATAACTTTTTACGCCCCTTTAGTGTCATGAAATAAAATATTTAATTTCCAATAACTAAGAATCAATTCAAAGAGCAGTCACTTTGGTTGCCACCTTGGTGGCATGACGTCACTCGGTTCATTAGCTGCTATAATAATAGCATATGATTGATTGGTTGGCGTTAAAGACACATCGAGAAACGCCAAATCCAATAAGAGAGCGCCTCTATGTTTTTAAATTCGTTTCTATTACAATACACTTCAAATCTAAAATATTTTAGGAAAACACTGAACTTAAAAGCCGTTTCACATTTTGGACGGTCCAAAATGTGAAAAAATGTCCTTTAAAGATTATTCGGTAAATATATGTGATATTTACGATAATAAACCGAAATCACGTACATTTTTTGCTCAATATCTTAATGCACAACCGGGCATATTTTCTTTAAAAATATTTTTTAAATATTATATGAAACGAATGCGTCTTGACTTTTTGACGATATCACTAAGACTAAATGACAAAAATCGGAGTTATATCCTATAGGACATAAGTTACAGACGACAATTTTGCTACTGATGTCCGGTCTATTATTACTACTACTTAAATGTCTTTGCGTATATGTCACCGACTGGCCACTTGAATAAAATGATTGATAAAACGCTTTGAAAAGCGTTATTTTAACTGTATTTGTACATCTAGTGAACCTTCGAGCAAGCATATTGGCTCTCACTGTCAACGCTCTGCTCTCCCTTTCTATGTCCTCGTCATCCCGGAGGTCTCCTGTCACAATGTGTCCCAAATAAGAGTATTTAAATCTATCCACCAGTTTTAGAGGCACCTCACCGAGGACTAGTGGAGGCACATGGGAGGGCTGATGTTTGCCTGCCTTGAACATAAGAAGTTGGCTTTTATTAGCGTTATATTTTAGCCCATGTGCCTGCGCATATATTATATTCTATGATAAATTGATATTATGTTAGCGAAAAGACAAGTATCAAAACCATAAAATTAAAAAAAAGTTCGATTATCAATAAATCACTAAGATTGCCAACTGCAAGATTTTACCCTTAAACTAAGGGGTATAAATATTCTAAAGTACAATAACAACCGTAACACACAATTATAAACCCATGTCAATATAAAACAGTGTCACTTTTTTTTAGAAACAGCTAAATCAATTAAATTAGAATTTGTAAATATTTTATTTAAATAATTATTTTTTAAAGTTTTGTCGGCCTGTCTATGCCTGTATATACAATAAATTGCATATTATTTTAATTTTTAATTATTTTTGAGGCTACACCTGGAGGAGACAATTGCGGTTAATATTCTTATTTATCTAATAATATGTTAGTCACAACATCTGTTAGTGTAAAATATATTTTTAATTATGTTGAATTGAAACCCAGGTTAAAAAAATGGGACATGGAAAGTACTGAAGATATTAATTGTACAAATTTCACTCAAATGAAACATTCATTTGTTTTTCAAAATAAGAATAACTAGATGAAGATCTATCTATGATCTATGATAGGGATAAAATCTTTCGAATAAACATTGTATCGTACATTTAAAGAAGACCATGAAATCTATCAATTCGTACATATCGAACTTTATTCTCGGCTTTCACGGTCTTCTTAAATTGTAAAACACAATTTGTATTCAAAAGATTTTATCCCTATCGATTGGTTAAATAAAATAGTGACTGTCTATTTTTTCAATTTTTAGTTAGCAGTAAAAAAAAAAATTGTTTGAATATGGTTATTCTTATTTTCCAAAACAAAGTAATTGTTTCATTTGAGTGAAATTTGATAGCTTTAATATTTAATGTACTTTCCCTTCATGTCCTGTTCGTGTTTTCCATCCTGTATGTTAAACAATAGATTTTATCTGTTTGAAATCACATTTAAGGGAAAATTCAAGTGTTAAATGGCAGCACCGATATATTACATTTACAATACCATTACCAATCAGAATTCACTATCAGTTCAGTTCATCATATATATTTATCTATGGTTCAGTTCAGTTTAGCGATGCAAAGTTTTTAAAAATATCGATATATTGATATCGATATATATTGAATGAAGTTGATATTTATATATCGATATATCGGTCAAGTACGCCGAAGCCGATATATCGATATTTTCCTTTTTTTTAAGGTTAATAAAATGAAAATTTGGAAATAAAAAATGTATTATTTTAATATATAATGTAAAAAAAAAAATTAATTCCAGTATTTTGTACCAGCTATTGAACTTAAAAATAATAACTTAGAAAGTCTGCTTCCATGTAGCCGGTTTCGGCTCTGGGTTATAGTAGCTCCTGCCTTCGAAAAAAGACGTTCTGATGGAACACTTGTTGCTACAATCGGTAGATGACACATTGCCACTTTAAAAAGATTCGGATATACACCCTGCATCTCTTGCCATGTTTCAAGAACATTTACTTTTAAAGTATTTACAGGGGCAGAGAGATATAACGTGAGTTCATCGTCACCGTCAGTTTTTTTTCTTTTTATTTGCGTGTGAGCCAAAGATTTGTGGTACTTCCAAAAATCAAATTCAACTTTTTCTTCATCTTCTGAAGAAGTTGACGAAGCCGTTACGGCAGATTTATATTCAGAAATGAATTTTCTAATTCGAGACATTGCTTTCGCACAAGCTTCCGGTTTTTTAAAATGCAAGTTCTTGAAACGCGGGTCTAGCAATGTAGAAACGGCTAACAACATATTGTATTCAAGATGGCCGAAACGCTTTTCTATCTCCAGCGTTATATTTCTCTTCAATTCGTCAGCAATAGTCGAAGTCACCCCCAATTCCTTGTATTGGTCAATTGCACAACTCACCATGGGTACAATTTTAGAAATGGTGACGTAACGTTCGGCAGAAGCCTCTCTTGTCATAGCTTCCAGTGGACGCATAACATAAGCAACATCTTTTATAGTGTTGAGCTGAACTGCTGTCAACATTGTAGGTGCATCTATTTTACAAAAAATTATGTCACTTATATATGGCGCCAAATCCAAAAATCGTTCAAGCATATAGTACATGGAATTCCATCTCGTTTTTACATCAAGTATCACTTTAAGAGCTTTTTCATCGGGTATTTTACTTTCTATTTGCTTTCTTTTTAATTCCAATGTCATGTCTTGTCTCTTTTTTACGTATTTTACTATATTCCTAACATGCTCTATTATATCACTCAGTCCGGAAGTTTTTCTTATGGCCTCTTCAGCAACTCTATTTATCATGTGAGCAAAACATGGGATGTGTTTGTGTGCCCCAAACGTCTCTCTTATTGCTTTAACCATATTTGCACCAGAATCTGTAACGAAAGCCATAACTTTTTCAGTATCTATATTCCAACTTCTTAATATTCCTGTCAATTGTTGTCCAATGTACTCGCCAGTATGACTTTCTTCTAATTCGAAAACTCCAATAGTCACAGATTGTAATTCATTCTGTTGCAAAAAATGAACAGTAAGTCCCAGATAACCAGTGTTAGTCAATGTCTCTGTCCAAATGTCTGTAGTCAAACTAAAGTAATCCACATTTTTCAATTTATGCGCCACAAATTTTGATAATGTGTCATACTTTTTATCAATCTTTGCTTTAATCGTTTCCCGACAAGGCACTTTATACAAAGGGGCTAGTTCCTTAATCAAATGTCGAAAACCTTTTCCTTCAACCGCATAAAACGGCCTGTTATCAACTGCAATAAAATACGCAATAGCATCTGTTATCCGGTCGTATTTTGCACCACCTTTAGAATATTGATACACATTTTCAAAAGCCTGTTTTATTTTTGGAGTGTTTGCAGACGTATTAGGAGTAGCGGGCTTAGTTGTAGGGAACACAACCACAGCAGACGAACAAGAAGCTTCAACAGTATCAACTGACGTTTCAGGGGGTTTAGCACTTTCGTCCGATGTTTGAAGATTAACGCTGACTCCAGCACTTCTAGACAAACTAGAAGAAGTACCACCACATTCAGTCAACTTACTGAAAAAGAAAAAAAAACAACGATACTTATTTTTATTTTGCTAGACTAAATATATAATTGTTTTTGTCTTATACAACCATTTGCATGCTTAGGTATATTTTGTCAAAAAAAAGAATATATGCGTTTATATATTCGCGTTATGTATCCGCTTATACCGATATTGATATATTCAATCGTCGATAGTCCACATAATACTATAGATAAAACGAATGATAACTTAAAAATTTGTTTTAAATATTTCCATCAAATGTAACCTAAATTATATTAAATTGTATATTCATAGTATTTTGTGTTTATTAACTGAGAAACTAGCGACATACCGTTGTGATTTATCCAAGGATTTATCGTCCACATCACAATCTTCTGGATGTTTGTGTTTCATATGTGATGCTAGATTGCTTGTATTTCCAGAAGTTTTAACTCGTTTGTTACAAATAGTGCAAATAACATTACCGTCTCCTTCTTTTTTGAAATAAGACCACAATTTACTTCTTTTCATATTTAAATTAGCAGTAAATAAATGCAAAAATAACAATCAATGACAGCTCAGCTCAGCCTACTCAAGTCTACCACAGCCACAGACTTACACACTTACCATAGATTAGAGAACAGAATCACTTTGTAACACAGTCAGTGTTGCCATGTCAGTAATAGCATTTTACCCGGTTTTGTGAATATTTTAATTTGTGCTGGTTTTCAATATTTTGTTTCGATATGTCCTGTTCGATATATCGCGTTTTTTACGATATTGAATTATCGATATCGCTATATCATCGATATCGATAACTATCGATATTTTTAGGTGTCGATATATCGATATTTATCGGTTTTCCGATATATCGTTGCATCCCTAGTTCAGTTCAGTTGTCAAATAATTGCTAATGTGAAAAGACGTGACGCTTATTTTTAATTGTATTTATATCGTGCAAAATTACGAAGCGATTATTTATCTTGATATAAAAAAGAAACAATGACTGTGGAATTAGAATACGATTATGATGCGGCAACGGCAAATATGGATACATTCTCACAAGATGACATAGAAGTTTTACGACAGTGGACCCAAAAATTGGACAAATCGAAATATGTGCCAAAGGACTTAACGAATAAACAACTTTTATTGTTTTATAATGCTTGTTATGGAGATATAGACAAAACGAAGACTTGTATAGAAAAATATTATGGGTTCAGAAGAAGTTCACCTGAATTTTTTGATGGTCGTGTTATAAATTCTGAAGAATTGAAGCCCAGCGTAGAAGCTTTGTAAGTACCTGTAATTTTTAACTGTAAGGTTTAATCACAGAATGTGCATTACAATAAAAGTAAAGCTAGGGTTGGTGACTATAAAATGCTGTCGTATAGTTTCGGCGTAAGAGAATGCACCAGCCTGTACCATTCTGTGGATTTGGTAAAAGGCGACAGAGGGAAAGTGAAACAAGGGATGGACAGCAGTTTCTTCCTAATAACAACTTAATTATAACTTTAACAAGTGCTAAAATTAAAAATTTTGTACAACCGACTTTAATATAAATTATTAAGGATAACTCAAAAACTACTGGTCAGACTTTGATCAAATTTATATGGGACATAAGAAGCACCAGCTTTCAAATAAATCATCAAAATCGGTTCACCTAGAAAAAAGTTATGAGGTAACACCCATTGATCACTAATAAAAAACTAGTTTTTTATTAATAGGATAGCGTGACAAATGAGCACACAGTCCACCTGATGGTAAGTGGTTGCTGTGGCTCATAGACATCTACAACTATCCTCGTTTGAGAATCAAAATGCATATTCTTGTTTGTCATCACCCTATCCTATAAAACAAAAATATACTTAATGATTTATTTATTTAAGTATAGGTACTTATAATATGTAATTTTAATAACTTTTTAAATCTGGACATAGTTTTAGGATCCTGTACATCCGTTTGTAATTTATTATATATATATATTAAACCTTCAAATTCTATATTCTTGATGCTGTAATTGGTTTTATTCTTGGTCTTCTCTTAATGATTAAGTGATTTGTGTTTCTTAATTTTCTTATCTGTATATCATGTTTTTTTGTAAATGTAATAATTATTTATATTAATATCATTGTTTAGTATTTTACGTGTTAATATGCATGTTTTTTACATATATGACTGCTTAATGTTCATAATTTTAGTATTCTCATATAATTTACGACTTGGAGTTAGATATTTATAGTAAAATTTTTATTAGTCTGTTTTGAGCTCTTTCTAATGGTTTTAAGTTAGTTTTCACTGCTGTACTCTCTATGTCTATGAAATAGTCAATGTGTGGTTTAACTAATGCATTGTATGTAATATATCAAACATTATGTGGAATACTTTGTTAATACTGTGGTCTTTTTTATGATGCCATGTTACAACCTACAGTAAAAACAATAAATACAATGGCCATTATAATGAAATCAATGTCAACTATATATTAATATTTTTTTTTTTTTATAGGATAAGGGTGACAAACGAGCACACAGTCCACCTGATGGTAAGTGGTTGCTGCGGCCCATAGACATCTACATCTATCCTCTATTACAAATCAAAATGTAGATGCGTTGTCATCCGTGAGGACTAAGATGGAATGCCTCATTTCCAGTAAAAAGGGCCTCCGGTCACCTGCACTCACCAAGCGAAACGCAGAGGTAAACCTCTACTTCACGCTGGTTTTCTGTGAGGTCGTGGTACCACCCCGGTTCGAGCCGGCCCATCCGTGCGACAGCAACAGCTGCCGCGTGGCTCTACCACTGTTAAAACTCTACCACTATTAAATATCAATTTTATAAATATATCAGTAACCGGGAAACTTGCAGGAGAAATAAGAGTTATTTCAACAAATTGTCCTCAATGCATTGATCTATTTTATTTTTATTCTTTTTTTATGTTTCCTTATCAAGAATTTTGTATATTTTTTTTAGGTCAGATTGTTGAAATATATTTTAAGAAATGTGTTTATGAATCCTATTAAAGTGAGTGTAGCCTAATGGTAGGATGCGGACTGTAAACTCAGAGAGTCTTGGATTAGAGCCTTACAATTTGACTACTGTGATGAAGCACTTGTTAAGCTTACTCAGAGTGATTAATAGGTTTATTAGTTTAAAAAAATCTTACTCTTTCTGAAAAAAAATCTGGCATATCACATTAACCCTGTATTATATTTGTATTAGGGTGAATCAAAAAATTTTTTTGCTTAAATCTTTTTGTAATAGTGAAATTATGCTCTCTTGTAAGTTCAATTAGAAATGTGTAAAATATTTTTTTTAAACTTCGAATCACATGCACGGGCTGAAGATATTACTTTTTTTAAACAATTATTACTATTTCTTAGACCTAAGACAACATAATATTGCGATTAAAAGACTATAAAATTTATTTTGAAAAAATTCCATACATTAGTGACCGACCCTAGTGTATATAAATGTATATATGTGTAAACTAACATTATTTATATTATATAATGCGCTTTAAATTATATGTTTAAATAAGCGATTATTTTTTTCTGTTGCGGCACTACCTATAGCTCTTACCGCATTACCAAAAGTTAAAAGTTAAACTGGCAGAGAATTCCTTTTCAGCATTAACAAAATCTGTACAAAATTGTTTTGAGTGAAATAAAGAATATTCTATTCTATTAATCCCTACTGAAACGACAACAGTAGGAGTCAAAATATCAGTCTTCTTATAAGGGGGTTGCTTATCAACTCATTAGATCTTAAGTTATAGGTAAAAGAATATGGTTTTCAATTCTTACATCACAGTAATACACCAACATAATGCTGTGGAAATAATTAAAGTAGATTAATTTAATTTATGTGGTAGAGCCATGCTGTAGCTATATTGTTAGTATAGTTGTAACACGAATGGGTCGGCTCGACCGGGGAAGGACCACGCTCTCACAGAGTACCAGTGTAAAATAGCAGCTTAACACTGCTGTGTTTCGGATGGTGAGTGTAGAGAACCGGAGAACCTTTTTACTGGAAAAGAAGCATTCCATCTTAGTCCTCACGGGTGACAACACATCTGCATTTTGATTCGCAAACGAGGATAGATGTAGATGTCTATGGGCCGCAGCAACCACTTACCATCAGGTGGACTGTGTGATCTTTTGTCACCCCATCCTATAAAAAAAAAGCTGTCGCTTCGTCTGTCTTACTAATCCTTTTAATAACGAAACATAATTTTGAAACTGGTTTATCATAATGTGCTCTTTTTATGAATTTTTAATAATCGTGATAAAAAATTTGTAAATCAATTACAGTATAATATGGGAGCAACTAAAACAGTGTAAAATATAAACATATTATTCACTGTAAAGCATTTGATAACAATTCCAGTGTAAAGTAATTTCTTTTAACATTGTATAACAAGGAGGTATCGGTAAACAGAACTATCTCAGACATTTTTCTACTATATTATTTTTATAAGCCATGATGAATTAAGGGCCAATCAACCCCTGAAAGACACCCACTTTTATCACATAACTCAATGGTTTTACTTTTACATTGTCAATTGTAACCTATTAAGCAAAAATTGTTTGAGTATTGACAACGGAGCGCACAATCCACGTGAAGTGCTGTGGACAGATGATGTGGCCCATAGACATCTACATCTTCACAATTAAAATCAAAATGCAGTTGTGTCACTAAGGACTAAGATGGAATGTCTCGTTTTCAGTAACAAGTTCGTTACACTAATCATACGAAACACAGAAGCATTAACCTGCTATTTTAAGCTGGTATACTGTCAGTATGGTCGAGCCGACCTATTCGTGCTATAACCATAACATAACTGAAGTGTGGCTCTACCACGTCCAAAATCTACTCGAACGAAGTCAGGCTGTTACAATTAAAGGTTATTGCTCCTTATTCATCCCTGATACTTCATGCTTCCATCGGGGATCCCATATTGGTCCTCTCTTATTTAATTAATTTATTAATCATATTATATGGGACTACCACTGAAATATAACCTATTTAATAAAAAAACAATAATCAAATTCCGTGCTTAAGAATATTTATTGGCCTTTTCACTAAATTCATAAAATTTTACAACAAAATCTCTAAAATATAATACAACAATCTGATATTAAATTTAGGAACATTGTTAAGGAAATGTCCTTATAAATGTCCAACTGTAAAATAGATCAATAAATCAACATATTGAGGAAAATTATGTGTGATGTGTGAATTAACTCTAACATGATATTAAATATTCTAAAAAAATAAATTACCCAAAGTTTCTTGTCGGTTTTGCCTCTGAGGTCTAGTTTTTGTGAACTGGTGTGTAAAGCAAGTAAAAAAAAAGTTTTGGCTTTGAATAACATGCAACAAATTTAATATCTTGTTAAATCACAACGAAATGATGGCCTTCAAAAAGTATCTTATTGTACAAGAGCGAGCACTCACATTAAGTAGAATATTTAATCCTATTAAAATTAAGATAACATTTTTACAGATGTTGATCCCTTTCCCTTATATAAATTGATTACTAAAAATTTAAGTTTTGATCACTGTGGAAATTTTGCTATAACTTTGCCGTGTGGTGTTGGTGCAAGATTTCATCGACCTATTTCGTCCCGCGGTCTTAAGAGGCGACTATGCGAAATCTCAATTAAATCTTATGGATTCATATAGATGACGGTATCAGTTACCGTTACGGTCTATTTTTTTTCTCTTTATTAAAAAAAAATTAAGGTCTATTAAAGTCCACTGAGCTGAACATAGGCCTACCCGTTGATTTCCTTATATAGGGGAATATTTGCCATAGTTGCCACGCTTTGCAAGCGGGTTGGCAATCACAGTTTTTTATTTTAGTCGTTATTAAGAAGACGCTGCTGTCAATCTCCTGATTTTTTTCCCATGTTAGAGTAGCGTGATTAGAAGAGATTTTCTGTCTTATTACAGATATCATTATATTTCTGTCTGTCAGTCTTCACTCATTTCCGCCGCGCTGCCCCCTTAGCTTGTTGGCGAACTTCACATTTCTTCGTTTTATTTTTATAATTATACTTAACTACTGTGCTGTAACTCAATGGATGTGATGTTCTTGCGTCATTAAAAATGTGCGCCAAAAACCATTACAAATACTGAAAGCACAGTTTGTAAAGGAGGATGGCGAAAATGCATGTATTTTGGGACCCACTGATAGGAGTAGCGTTCATAGTGCAAACTTATTAATAGTTGTAGATCGTGACAAAACTAACAAAAAAGCAAATGGGAAGTAAGTCTAAAAAAAGTGTACC